ACTAGCAGTCAAAGCTGCCAGGTGTAGCTTAAATAATTATGCAGAACAGGTATAACAAAAATGTTGTTTTAGTAAAAAACAAATAAAGAGGAAAGCAAGAAATCCTGAATGTTGATAAATTTTGGATTTTAAGGTATTATTAAATATTATTTAAAGTTTACAGAACCAAAAGAATGAAATTGATAAATAAAAAGGGAGAACTACAATGCCTATAATTCAGTTGAAGCTAATATAGAAGTTTGATACAGGATTTCACTCCACTATGTTTGTAACTAAGGAAATCACGATTATACTGTCTATGATACCTGTTTTACTGTTGTCACTTTGTATTACCAGAATTCCAAAGATAGATATCATATCATAATCATGATATTGTATATATATAGATGTAACATAAGATGTTTTGTGTATAGTAAGATATTGTATATATATAGATGTAACATAAGATGTTTTGTGTATAGATAAGATATTGTATATATATAGATGTAACATAAGATGTTTTGTGTATAGATAAGATATTGTATATATATAGATGTAACATAAGATGTTTTGTGTATAGATAAGATATTGTATATGTATATAGATGTAACATAAGATGTTTTGTGTATAGATAAGATATTGTATATTTATATATATAGATGTAACATAAGATGCTTTGTGCATAGATAAGATATTTGAAAAGAATGAAATTAACATGACAAAGTATTGGGCTAACATTAAATGCAAGTTAATGTTTTGAAAAAATCTTTTGCACATATTTGATTGATAACAATCGCTCATAAATGTAATGTTGATATACTGCGAACGATAACAGTATCTTCTCTTGTGTATTATGTATGACGTCATAATGTCGTTACCTAGACATTATAATAAATTATCGCCTGAAGATGGCCGTTAGGCCTGAAAACGTTAGCGAAATACATTTGTTGTGTTGATATTATTCTTTTCAAATATATATATTTAAATGTGTGTGTGTATCAATAGTATTTTAAATAATATATATATTAATGCATAGTATACCATATTTCCTGGGTTATAAGCCACACTGGTTTATAAGCCGCACCAGAATATAAGCCTCACCCTTTCTGATGATATGGTGACCACCATTGTTAATGTTTGATATATCGATATCAAATAATGGAAGGCAGTTCTTACAAACTGTTAACTGTTATATTGACCAAAGTTTGTTGATATTACAGACAATAGAGGACAATTTATTACGATCGTCCATGAAACATTTAATATAAGTTTGCAAATGAATCATACACAGATAATCCTTTATTTTATTGATGTAATTAAAAAATCGAAAAATAGCAAATATCGAACTCATGGGGCATGGGTGCCTTCAAAGATTGTCTAGGCACAGATATAGGGCCTGACACTATGTACGGTTTACTAAACACTTTCTCCATAGGTGCCTGAACTGTTATTATTTCTTCTTGTGAATTAGACAAAGTCATTCATATCGTAAACAATCATGGTGGTCGTTCGAACCTTATGACCTATTGATCCCAAGATTCAAATGCTATTCTTCCACCGTGGCATTGAAGTAACCGCAAAAGTCCAGAAAATATTATTGTGATTCATATTCAAATCTATGATTAATGAAATCCATGAGAATGTTATTTTCATTTCAATCTTCAAATTGGTTCTAGATGATCAGTTTCTGGCACAAACACATAACGGGCAGGTATTAGTAAAAAAAACTCGGTACCATCTCTACTTCAACAATGTCAGAGGTTTTTCACGCTGAGAAACTTATGACTGGCGCCGTGTAGTTGCAGTCTGCACAGTAATGACAGATAATGAAATAGCTGACCAGTAGCCTCTAATGTTATAGGAGTATACTCGTACTGGTGTACTGGTACGCTTCCCTTTGTTTTATCCTATACTCGTACTGGTGGACTGGTACTTTCCGTTAGAGGTTTTTCACACTGAGAAACTTATGACTGGCGACGTGAAGTTGCATTCTGCACAGTAATGACAGATAATGAAATAGCTGACCAGTGGCCTCTAATGTTATAGGAGTATACTTGTACTGGTATACTGGTACGCTTCCCTTTGTTTTATCCTGTACTCGTACTGGTGTACTGGTACACTTCCCTTTGTTTTATCCTATACTCATACTGGTGTACTGGTATGCGTCCCTTTGTTTTATCCTATACTCGTACTGGTGTACTGGTACGCGTCCCTTTGTTTTATCCTATACTCGTACTGGTGTACTGGTACGCTTCCCTTTGTTATATCCTATACTCGTACTGGTGTACTGGTACGCTTCCCTTTGTTTTATCCTATACTCGTACTGGTGTACTGGTACGCTTCCCATTGTTTTATCGTATACTCGTACTGGTAGAATGGTACGCTTCCCTTTGTTTTATCCTATACTCGTACTGGTGTACTGGTATGCGTCCCTTTGTTTTATCCTATACTCGTACTGGTGTACTGGTACGCTTCCCTTTGTTTTATCCTATACTCGTACTGGTGTACTGGTACGCTTCCCTTTGTTTTATCCTATACTCGTACTGGTGTACTGGTACGCTTCCCTTTGTTTTATCCTATACTCGTACTGGTGTACTGGTACGCTTCCCTTTGTTTTATCCTGTACTCGTACTGGTGTACTGGTACGCTTCCCTTTGTTTTATCCTGTACTCGTACTGGTGGAATGGTACGCTTCCCTTTGTTTTATCCTATACTCGTACTGGTGTACTGGTACGCTTCCCTTTGTTTTATCCTATACTCGTACTGGTGTACTGGTACGCTTCCCTTTGTTTTATCCTATACTCGTACTGGTGTACTAGTACGCTTCCCTTTGTTTTATCCTATACTCGTACTGGTGTACTGGTACGCTTCCCATTGTTTTATCCTATACTCGTACTGGTGTACTGGTACGCTTCCCATTGTTTTATCCTATACTCGTACTGGTGTACTAGTACGCTTCCCTTTGTTTTATCCTATACTCGTACTGGTGTACTGGTACGCTTCCCTTTGTTTTATCCTGATGATTTTGTTTTCCATCCACGCATAAGTTATACCATCTATAAGCTGCATGCCAATTCACGAGGAAAAAAGGTGTCACGTGCACCTACCCAATTCTTATCAAGGATGAGATATTCATGTGTTTGAAAAGGCATCTTTTTGATAGAGCATCAGAAGAAGTTAAACACACCAATTAAACATATATATATATATAGGTAAAATTTCTGTTAATTATCATTTAGGGCACATTTGACATTGGTGGGGGGTGGAAGGCAGGTAGATGGAAAAGGACGTCTTACCAAATAGATTCAACTGTTTGTATCATATACTTATTCTCTCTTTGATCATAAAGCTGTGGGATATAGATACTGGATATATTTATAGGTGCTATTGTTATATTGACACACTACACAAAACCAATGCACCTGTCATGCAGAATGAGTATCTAAAACCTGTTCCACCTGTTTTCTTAACTTCTCCTCATGTAAAAGTTTGATATTTTAAAGATATACTAATAAACAGATGTGTTATACATGTTAACTTTTCAAATAAGAGAGAAACCACTTGACAAAACATGATTGTCGTTTATAATGTAATGATGACATATTTTGAGGCTTGTTAAAATATAGGAAGAAAAGTGAAGGAGGTGTTCCAAAAATAGGAAGAAAAATAAGAGAGATTGTCCCAAAAAATAGGAAGGAAAATTAGGGAAGTGTCCCAAAAAGTAGGAAGAAAAATTAGGGAAGTGTCCCGAAAAATAGGAAGGAAAATTAGGGAGGTGTCCCAAAAAGTAGGAAGGAAAATTAAGGAGGTGTCCCAAAAAATAGGAAGGAAAATTAAGGAGGTGTCCCAAAAGGAAAATGCTAAGATGCTATTCTGATGTCCATGAGACTATTAAACCTCCTGTTCTGATATACAGGCAGAAATTCATCCATTCAATGTTTAACTTGAAATAAAATTGTAATTTTTTATAATATATCTGTAAGGCATAATCCAATATCATATCATATGATCATCATATGATATATTAATTAATCGTAAAATATTTACTGAAAAGTAATTTTTGTATACATCCCATAGGCCATTAATATTTCAGTTCAATTACCTGTAATATAATACTGGTATTGCACATTTTCTGTTACGCAGGTGCTGTATTGTAGATATACAAGAGATATATATACATGTGAATCAGCAGGCAGATCATGACCAGTCATTTTGATAAGTCAGCAGAATCAGAAAATTGGTGTACACCTTCAGAAGGAGTTTAACCATCCAGGATGTTGTTATCAGTTAAATACTGACCCACACATTCTGTAGGGGTTTACCAAAAAGGATGTTATCATTAAAAATTCACAAACCTTCTATAGGAGTTTTACCAACAAAGACATTATCAGTTAAAAATTGAAACACCTTCCATAGAGATTTTACCAAAAAGGATGTTTTTATCAATTAAAAATTGATGCACACCTTCTATAGGAGTTTTACCAAAAAGGATGTTATCGCTAAAAATTCACAAATTTTCTATAGGTGTTTTACCAACAAGAAGGTTGTTATCAAATATAAATTGACTCACACTGTCTAAAGAGAGTTTTACTGACCAGTTTTTATGGCCTACAATGTCTTACTTCCTTCTGATAGTTTACTGTCAATGCATATTGATGATTCTTGCTTACATATAGATAGTGGAAGTACATGGTAGTGTGATTTAAACGTGTGTAGAACATTTGCCTCAAGTGAAATTTCAGGGTATGCTTCAGTTGGTCGGATATGATTGTGATACAGACATGCTTGACAGAACAGGAGCTGGAGACACTTACTTGATCAGGGGATTTTCAGTGATACTACTGGTAACATATTGATATCTATATGATCTTGTCTTCTGGTCACCCACCTGTTATAGGTGGACATCTAACTCTTTCTGCTTGTTGACGTAGAGTTAATAAGCATGTACGTCATTAGATCGTAACATTGTTGTGTTTTATAAGTGTTCAGTACAAGGAGAAATTGTTCATGATTGTTGTAGAATGCTGATGATGAGGGTGGTGGTCAGCTGCCTGGTCCTATGTCTGCTGACTGCTCACCCACTGACCGCAGATGACAGACCAGTGACTGGCGAACATCTTAACCAGTTTATCATACAGGTAGATAGGAAGGATCTAGAGGCTGTGGCCAGGGACCATGGCTTCCTACTGGAACAGGAGCATAAGGTAGGCAATGTCTGTGTGTTACTGGAGGTCATAATATATTGGTAGGGGAGGGACTATGTAGGGAGTACTGGAGGGGAGGTCATAATATATTGGTAGGGGAGGGACTACTTAGGGAGGTGAAATGTGTTATTGGGGAACAAAAATCAGTATAGGTAGGTCATTGTAAATTGATGGTGTGTGGGGGGGGGGGGGTATTTAGGTAGGTAACATATGTTAGTGTCGAATTGTATGTGTAGGTATGTCATTGTATATTATTGGGGGTGGGGGGACAATTTAGGTAGGTAACATATGTTGGTGTAGAACTATACATGTAGATATGTCATTGTTTATTGATGGAGGGGGGATGTAGGTAGGTAACATATGTTAGTGTTGAATTGTAGGTGTAGGTAGGTCATTGTATACGGGTGGTGGGGGGTATGTAGGTAGGTAACATATGTTAGTGTGGAACTGAAGGTTTAGGTATGTCATTGTATATTGATGGAGGGGGGGGGGGGTATGTAGGTAGGTAACATATGTTAGTGTGGAAGTGTAGGTAGGTCATTGTATACGGGTGGTGGGGGGGTATGTAGGTAGGTAACATATGTTAGTGTGGAAGTGTAGGTAGGTCATTGTATACAGCTGGGAGGGGGGTATGTAGGTAGGTAACATATGTTAGTGTGGAAGTGTAGGTAGGTCATTGTATACAGCTGGGAGGGGGGTATGTAGGTAGGTAACATATGTTAGTGTGGAAGTGTAGGTAGGTCATTGTATACAGCTGGGAGGGGGGTATGTAGGTAGGTAACATATGTTAGTGTGGAAGTGTAGGTAGGTCATTGTATACGGGTGGTGGGGGGGTATGTAGGTAGGTAACATATGTTAGTGTGGAAGTGTAGGTAGGTCATTGTATATGGCTGGGAGGGGGGTATGTAGGTAGGTAACATATGTTAGTGTGGAAGTGTAAGTAGGTCATTGTATATGGCTGGGAGGGGGGTATGTAGGTAGGTAACATATGTTAGTGTGGAAGTGTAGGTAGGTCATTGTATACGGGTGGTGGGGGGGGTATGTAGGTAGGTAACATATGTTAGTGTGGAAGTGTAAGTAGGTCATTGTATATGGCTGGGAGGGGGGTATGTAGGTAGGTAACATATGTTAGTGTGGAAGTGTAGGTAGGTCATTGTATACGGGTGGTGGGGGGGTATGTAGGTAGGTAACATATGTTAGTGTGGAAGTGTAAGTAGGTCATTGTATACGGCTGGGAGGGGGGTATGTAGGTAGGTAACATATGTTAGTGTGGAAGTGTAGGTAGGTCATTGTATATGGCTGGGAGGGGGGTATGTAGGTAGGTAACATATGTTAGTGTGGAAGTGTAGGTAGGTCATTGTATACGGGTGGTGGGGGGGTATGTAGGTAGGTAACATATGTTAGTGTGGAAGTGTAAGTAGGTCATTGTATACGGCTGGGAGGGGGGTATGTAGGTAGGTAACATATGTTAGTGTGGAAGTGTAGGTAGGTCATTGTATATGGCTGGGAGGGGGGTATGTAGGTAGGTAACATATGTTAGTGTGGAAGTGTAGGTAGGTCATTGTATATGGCTGGGAGGGGGGTATGTAGGTAGGTAACATATGTTAGTGTGGAAGTGTAGGTAGGTCATTGTATATGGCTGGGAGGGGGGTATGTAGGTAGGTAACATATGTTAGTGTGGAAGTGTAGGTAGGTCATTGTATACGGGTGGTGGGGGGGTATGTAGGTAGGTAACATATGTTAGTGTGGAAGTGTAAGTAGGTCATTGTATACGGCTGGGAGGGGGGTATGTAGGTAGGTAACATATGTTAGTGTGGAAGTGTAGGTAGGTCATTGTATATGGCTGGGAGGGGGGTATGTAGGTAGGTAACATATGTTAGTGTGGAAGTGTAAGTAGGTCATTGTATATGGCTGGGAGGGGGGTATGTAGGTAGGTAACATATGTTAGTGTGGAAGTGTAGGTAGGTCATTGTATATGGCTGGGAGGGGGGTATGTAGGTAGGTAACATATGTTAGTGTGGAAGTGTAGGTAGGTCATTGTATATGGCTGGGAGGGGGGTATGTAGGTAGGTAACATATGTTAGTGTGGAAGTGTAGGTAGGTCATTGTATATGGCTGGGAGGGGGGTATGTAGGTAGGTAACATATGTTAGTGTGGAAGTGTAGGTAGGTCATTGTATATGGCTGGGAGGGGGGTATGTAGGTAGGTAACATATGTTAGTGTGGAAGTGTAGGTAGGTCATTGTATATGGCTGGGAGGGGGGTATGTAGGTAGGTAACATATGTTAGTGTGGAAGTGTAGGTAGGTCATTGTATATGGCTGGGAGGGGGGTATGTAGGTAGGTAACATATGTTAGTGTGGAAGTGTAGGTAGGTCATTGTATATGGCTGGGAGGGGGGTATGTAGGTAGGTCATTGTATATGGCTGGGAGGGGGGTATGTAGGTAGGTCATTGTATATGGCTGGGAGGGGGGTATGTAGGTAGGTCATTGTATATGGCTGGGAGGGGGGTATGTAGGTAGGTATGGCTGGGAGGGGGGTATGTAGGTAGGTATGGCTGGGAGGGGGGTATGTAGGTAGGTATGGCTGGGAGGGGGGTATGTAGGTCATTGTATATGGCTGGGAGGGGGGTATGTAGGTAGGTATGGCTGGGAGGGGGGTATGTAGGTAGGTATGGCTGGAAGGGGGGTATGTAGGTAGGTATGGCTGGGAGGGGGGTATGTAGGTAGGTATGGCTGGGAGGGGGGTATGTAGGTAGGTATGGCTGGGAGGGGGGTATGTAGGTAGGTATGGCTGGGAGGGGGTTATGTAGGTAGGTCATTGTATATGGCTGGGAGGGGGGTATGTAGGTAGGTATGGCTGGGAGGGGGGTATGTAGGTAGGTCATTGTATATGGCTGGGAGGGGGGTATGTAGGTAGGTATGGCTGGGAGGGGGGTATGTAGGTAGGTCATTGTATATGGCTGGGAGGGGCTTGCTATTATTTATTTGTTATAGATATTATTTTTCATTATGGCCTTGCATGAAAGATTCAAAGAAATGCAGTTTTATTTCCTGGTCATACTGTTATTAATGAAATTCAATTTTACACCTGTTTTAGCTATGACATGTAGCAAAGTTGTTCAGAATCAAAGAAGATTGTGATTGGTTGAAAGTTAGACCCTTCAGTTTAAAGGCACTGACCAAAGAACATTTAAGGCCATCTAATCAAAGGTGGAATTTGGTACCATCCTGATAAGTAAGAAGTAATGATCTGTCAAATGCTTTATTGTACACTCATATCAGTTCTTAAAATCACATATATTTTCTGTTTTGATACAATTGTAGCTGGATGAAATCGGATTGTATTCTCTAAAACATCCAGCAGTTGAAATTCGATCCAAGCGCAGTGCTGATCTTCACCTTGCCAAACTAAAGGCTGATCCACGGGTATGTGTTTTTATTATATGTAGTATCACTTTGCACAGCATTCATTTTGTACCTCTCATAAGCTGTACAACGAAGTATGTTCAACTTTTAATCTCTCTTTGACAACTTTTAGGTGAGAGAAGTTTCACAGCTCCAAGTGTTGGAACGTGTAAAAAGGGAGATTGTTTATGACAAACAGCTGGAGTTTCCAGTAAGGAATATTGATCCTTCTGAGTTTTATCGTGTCCAACCTAAACACTTTTCTCCACGAGGAATGCCTGATCCCAACTGCCATGATGACTACAACATGGAATTTAATGACAAATACTACAGTGACTCCTGGTTTATTGTGAGTATTTTAATGGAGTTATTTCCCTTAATTGTGGGATGATTAATGATTTGACTGTAATGGGGTTTTTTCACGCGATCTTTACATTGATTTCACTGTTTGTTGATTCTGCATTTTCAGTCCAATGAGGGACAGACTGGAGGAAAATGTGGAATAGACCTTCGTGTGAACAAAGCCTGGCGAGGAGAATTTACTGGTCAAGGTATCCGGGTAGTTGTCCTGGATGATGGTCTTGACCACAAACATCCTGATCTACGTGATAATTACGTAAGCCATTAGCGTCGTATGAAGGTGTTTCTGTCCCTATGTTAACTGGGATTTATTACAGGGAGAAACTGAAACACATACTACAGATGGTGTGTCTGCCTCTGTGATAACTGGGACATTTTGTTATATACTTTAGAGTAAATGGGGGATAATGATGGATGATTTTTTATTTCTAAAAAAGGGGAAGTCAATTATAACAAAAAAAGTGAGAGTAGTTAATTGTGTTAAAAGAATAGGGAGCTAATTGTGTTAAAAGAATAGGGAGCTAATTGTGTTAAAAGAATAGGGAGCTAATTGTGTTAAAAGAATAGGGAGTTACCAATGTTAAAAGATGATGAAGTTAAGTGTGGACAAAGACGATGAAGTTAATTGTGGAAAAACACGATGAAGTTAATTATGGAAAAAGATGATGAAGTTAATTGTGGACAAAGATGATGAAGTTAATTGTGGAAAAACACGATGAAGTTAATTATGGAAAAAGATGATGAAGTTAATTGTGGACAAAGATGATGAAGTTAATTGTGGACAAAGATGATGAAGTTAATTGTGGACAAAGATGATGAAGTTAATTATGGAAAAAAATAAAGAGATAATTAGAGCAGTCAGATCATTTATGACAGAAAAATAGTGATATGTACAATGAGCTCTTATTTCTGTTTAGGATCCCACAATCAGTGCAGATTTCAATGACAATGATTATGATCCCAAACCTGACCTGAGTAACCCAGACAACAGGTAAGTAATATTAATTATCTATATGTAGGATTATGGGCCTATTTAAAGAGATCTGGAGCATATGCTTCCATTTAAGTAAAGGCTTGAATAGATAGACAAACAGACTTTTCATGACAATTATCTATAGAAAACAATAGTTTATTGTTGTCATTCATATTAAAGATGTAAAATTCATTGTCTCTTGTTATTCTGTTTAAATGCTAACCAGGCTGGACACACAGGTAACTATGACCGTGGTGTTTGTTGTTTGTGGATGGTTTATTGAAGGAAGTTTGGAAATTTAATGCATGTTTGGCATGTGATGAGATTTTCCATATGTTGTTTTCGTGAAGAAAATGTTTAACACTGCTGCTGCAGCTGTACTTTTTGTGAAGGTTTATCTTGAGATTGTCTGAGACAAAGTCTCATTAACTTTTTATATATATGATGTGAGCTTTATTTGTCTGATTGATTTGTTGTATAAAACATTTATCATACACTTTCACAATCTCCTGAACCTTTTTTAAAGAAATTTTACAGAAAGCTTGCATGTTTAAAAGCTTGACATGTAATCTGTAGTCTTCCCAGATGTAAATTTTCATTATGGACAATTTATTTTCACGATTCTACATTAGGAAATAAGTTCATATTGGAATTACTATAACAGAAAGACTTTGTTTTTAACATCTATACAGACAAAACCAGGTGAATACAGCTGAATAAACTTGAGGTTAAATGACATTTTTTCTCCAGAATGTTAAGGCTTATAGAAATTTTCTTACTCTAGTTTTTGTGGTAAATTTGGTTGGTTTAAAAAATCACTATAAGTCCTCCTAAAGGTGCTGTATCTGGCATTGTACACCATCGCCATGTTAAACTGACATTAGTGATGCTATTCACATTGTTTAACTTTCTCACCTTCCTTGGCTACTGTTTGTTCACAGCCATGGTACACGGTGTGCAGGAGAAATTGCTGGAGCTGCCAATAATGGTGTCTGCTCTGTAGGAATAGCCTATAACAGTAGAATTGGTGGTATGTAAACTGTTATATGTGTTATATCTGTGTTATATCTGTACTGTGTTATATCTGTGTTATATCTGTACTGTTATATCTGTGTTATATCTGTACTGTGTTATATCTGTACTGTCAATCTGTGTTATATCTGTGTTATATCTGTACTGTATTAACAAAACATGCACTTACAATAAATACAAAGGGTTTATACAATTTTCTACACGGAAGTTGACATTAAACTTTAGTAGGAGTAAACATTTTCTAGATGAAGGAAGGGAAATTTCCATTCTGTCCCATAAAAAGATGTTTTTAGGTAGAACATGTTATATATGTGGTGTGGTGTAACGTTCTGTATACATGCTCTATTATATTTTTAGTGGGATGTAATTTCTTGGGTATGAAATGTATTTATTCTGTACTTCAGGTGTCCGTATTCTGGATGGCATTGTCACTGATGCCCTAGAAGCCCAGGCAATTATCCACATGATTTCAAAAGTTGATATATACAGTGCTTCCTGGGGCCCGCGTGATGATGGGATGACAATGGAAGGTCCTAGTCTAGCCTCCAAGGCAGCACTTGCTTTGGGAGTAAAAAAGGTACAATATCTGAATACTTTGCTTATTTTATAAGAATTATGCTATAGATGACAGGACATTGATGTGAAGATTCATGCGTCAATACTTTTATCTGACAGGGTCGTAATGGCAAGGGTTCCCTGTATGTGTGGGCCACAGGCAATGGTGGCATCAATGATGACTGCTGTGGAGCTGACGGCTATGTCGGCGCCAGGGAAACCATCTCTATTGGCAGTATCAATGACAATGGAATGCGACCATGTTTTATGGAAATCTGCAGCTCCACCATGGCAACAGTTCCCAGTGGTGGGGAACCATGTGACACATTCGGCAAAGAGAATAAACCTCGAATACGTGTGGTAGGTGAATATGGTCACATGTTTGAACAGAATACCTTATCTCTAGAAACAGAGGATCACATTGTATTTACTGCACATCAGTCAAATATTAATTGTATCTAAGTATTTTTTTATCATCTTCGTTCTTTCAAAACAAAGTTTCGCCTCTGTTTGGTAGTTGTGCTGCTTTTTACCTCAAACATCAAAGTATTTTTAGGAAGTGTTTTAATCATGCTGTCCATGAAAAACACATGAATCCCTCAACAGATTCATTTCATATATACTCCATAATATAACATCAAGGCTAAAGGTCAAACGTTACAAACATTTGACCATTTAAGTAACCTTTGACAATTTTCTAAATAAAAAAGCCTTGGGCACAAGATATCTTGTGAATGCCTCAACAGAATTAGGTGATATTTACTCCATAGCATAGCACCATCAAGATTTACACCTATTTAGATTAGATGATCAAGGCTAAAGGTCAAAGGTATTGCCAGAGGTTACTAACTTTGACCATATAAGTAGCCTTTGTCCTTTATCTAAATAAAATCTTTGTGCACTTGATATCTCATGATTCCTCAACAGATTTAATGGATATTCATACAATAGCATCACTTCATCACATTATACACTTCAGTTACTTTGATTTTAGTGGTTGACAGTCGAGTTTAAAGGTCACCATTGACAAGTTTTGACACAAAAAGTTTGTGTATAAGATGCCACATGAAACCCTCGGTATGTTTAGTTGAGATTCACACCAGCAATATCTGATCAGACTTTTGTAGCCATTGGTCATGGTTAGTTCCAGGGGTCACCTTTTCCAACTTTCAAAATTAAAAAGGTTGCCTGTTAAACATAACACTGCTCCTATAAACATACCACTGTTCCTATAAAACATATCACTGTTCCTATAAAACATACCACTGTTTCTATAAAACATATCACTGTTTCTATAAAACATATCACTGTTCCTATAAAACATATCACTGTTTCTATAAAACATACCACTGTTTCTATAAAACATATCACTGTTCCTATAAAACATACCACTGTTTCTATAAAACATATCACTGTTCCTATAAAACATACCACTGTTTCTATAAAACATATCACTGTTCCTATAAAACATACCACTATAAATCAAATCATTGTTCCTATAACTTATACCACTTTTCCTGTAAAGTATGAACTTTTGCATCAGGTAACTACGGATGTTAATGGAGGATGCACTCTGAGCTTTGAGGGAACATCCAGTGCTGCTCCTATGGCTGCTGGAGTATTTGCTGTGGTTCTTGATGCCAAGTAAGTTTCCTTTCTGTGTAGCAATCAAATAAGTACAGTAAGTACTGAGGTCAAATAAGAATTATCAGTAAAACCTACTGTCAGTATAAAGGTCATACTGTTTGTATAAAGGTCATACTGTCAGTATAAAGGTCATACTGTCAGTATACAGGTCATACTGTCAGTATAAAGGTCATACTGTTTGTATGGAGGTCAAAAGAACAATTAAGCATCCAAGATTAAGTAAGAATAAATTCAGTTTACAGTCATTAATGATTCGCTCTTAATATGAAATAGATATATGGCTATATGTTGAAGGTCAGTAATGATATGTAAGACAGGTGAATATAGAAATAATTGTAATCATCCAACAAATTTACACCTTCTCCGAAGGATGCACCTTGTCCGAAGGATGCACCTTGTCCGAAGGATGCACCTTGTCCGAAGGAGGCACCTTGTCCGAAGGAGGCACCATGTTGGAAGGCTGCACCTGATTTTGACAAAATTTGTAAAATCATGAATTGGTGTGGGAGATTTCTTTTCACTGATTTCCAGGGTACTCTTAAGTCATGAATTTATATGTTCACAAACAGATAATATTAGTGTTAATAGATTTATTTAACTATATGTATTCACGAAACAGAAATCTTTTTTTTAGATACAAAGCGAGCTCCACAAAAATTGTTTATGATTTCACAGTAAACACTTGGTCTCAGCCCCTGGAACATGAGGGAAGGGATGGGACTCAATAAGGGATATATATGTATAACAAATTCTTTAATATCTTTCTTCTAAAGAAATGACAAGATTTGGTCCAGATTTGGTCCAGATTTGGTCTAAAGCATCTTAAGTGACAGGGACTCAATTTTGTAGAAACAGTGGGTATGACACCTCATGGAACAGATTGCCATGGTTTTATATGGGATGTAGAGGAAACACTTTGAAATCATTCCTCTGTTTGGATGAAGGTATATTAACCAAAGTTGGTTTTAAATATCTCTGAGAGAATGGGACATTCTTTGTAAATATTTGAGCTGGTCTCTATTTTGCCAGAAAGATGGAAAATAGAGTCTCTGTAGTCGTGTAATTCCTTTTCTGCTGAGAGGAAATTTGATTTGAATCTTTAGAATTCACAGTTAAAAACTGTGTATAAAAACCTGTACATTATATATATGGTGTTGCCCTATATAACCTGTTCAGAAATTCTTGTTTTTATAGGTTTTCTTTTGACACCTGATAATTTTACCATGTTCTTTTGTAGCCCTGATCTTGGATGGAGGGACATCCTCCACATCATTGCTGTCACAGCCCGCATCCCAGTTCCAGAAGAGACAGGCTGGCATGTCAATGACTGTGGTTACCATACCAACCATGAACTTGGATTTGGAGTCCTGGATGTTGCGACCATGGTAGCAGTGGCCCAGACGTGGGGAAATGTACCCAAAGAGAGAGTGTGTCACAGCCCCCGTATCGCTGTCAACAGGTAGGTATAGTCTGTACAGATGTCACAGCCTCCATATCACTGTCAACAGGTAGGTATAGTCTGTACAGATGTCACAGCCCCCGTATCGCTGTCAACAGATAGGTAGAGTCTGTATAGATGTCACATCCTCCATATCACTGTCAACAGGTAGGTATAGTCTGTACAGATGTCACAGCCCCCGTATCGCTGTCAACAGGTAGGTATAGTCTGTACAGATGTCACAGCCTCCATATCACTGTCAACAGGTAGGTATAGTCTGTACAGATGTCACAGCCCCTGTATCGCTGTCAACAGGTAGGTATAGTCTGTACAGATGTCACAGCCTCCATATCACTGTCAACAGGTAGGTATAGTCTGTACAGGAAAAAAATTGTATATATATATTATCCTTGTTCTTACTCAAATAACCTTATTGTTACCAGAAATTAATCATTACATTAAAAAGGTAGGTATACTTTGCATATAAAAGATGTAATGCATGGTGGCTTACTTATGTCACAGACCCTTTCCACATTATAAACTGACCTGTCAACAGTGTAGGATTATAAGTTTCATATGACCTAATTTGCATGAAGGTCATTTGATCTAGTTTCCATATTGTGAAAGACACAAAAAATGAGCTGGTTTTACAGTTTATCACTGTCTTGTTGTAGGTAGGTATAGTCTGTTTGGGGAAAAAAATTGTATATATATATATTATTCTTGTTCTTACTCAAATAACCTTATTGTTACCAGAAATTAATCATTACATTAAAAATTTGTTTTTTCTGATTTTGAAATTGTGTCAGCTGTGACCTACTTTGCATATAAAAGATGATAATGCTTATGGTGGCTTACTTATGATTATGGATGTACTCTTTTGATTGTGACCTACTTTCCACATTATAAACTGACCTGATTTCACTGTGAATTATTACCTTTCTTGCAATTTTGATTATAAGTTTCATATGACCTAATTTGCATGAAGGTGACAATTTCTTGAATTTGATCTAGTTTCCATATTGTGAAATACTGACACAAAAAATGAGCTGGTTTTACAGTTTTCTCCTTGTTGTATCATGACCTACTTTCCATGTTGTGTCATGACCTACTCTTTCTGTGGATGGTGACTATTATGATAATTTACAGTGACTTAACAACCCCTTTTTTAAAACTTTTACAGGGTGATAAACAGTAACCTTTGTGTTGAGATGAAAGTCCCAACTTCTCACTGTCAGAGTGATCCAAACCGCCGAATCAATTTCTTGGAACATGTCATGCTGTACGTACATCTTGACCACAGCCGTCGTGGTGACATTGAAATCAGAGTGAGTTCTCCAGCGGGAACTGTGTCACAGATGATGTATCGAAGACCTAAGGACAACAGTAAACAGGGCATGGATTTCACGTTCATGTCCGTCCACTTCTGGGGTGAGGGTGCCTCCGGGGAATGGACTGTCACTGTGTGTGATAATGATGATGGATCTAACCGTAATAATCAGGGCTTTATACACAGGTAAGGAAAAATAGAAGGTAATTTATAGCAAGTGTCTGTATATTGCATGGCATTGAACACAGATAAGGAAAAACCTGTAATAGACATTTACACCACATGTCTGTGTATAGTGGGGCTTTGGACACAGGCAAGAGAAAGTCTGTAATAGATATTTACACCAAATGTCTGTGTATAGTGGGGCTTTGTACTCAGGTTAGGAAAAACCTGTAATAGACATTTACACCACATGTCTGTGTATCGTAGGGCTTTGTACACAGGTTAGGAAAAACCTGTAATAGACATTTTCACCACATGTCTGTGTATAGTCGGGCTTTGTCCACAGGTTAGGAAAAATTTGTAATAGACATTTTCACCAAGTGTCTGTGTATAGTGGGGCTTTGTACACAGGCAAGAGAAAGTCTGTAATAGATATTTACACCAAGTGTCTGTATCGTTGGGCTTTGTACACAGGTTAGGAAAAACCTGTAATAGACATTTACACCACATGTCTGTGTATCGTAGGGCTTTGTACACAGGTTAGGAAAAACCTGTAATAGACATTTACACCACATGTCTGTGTATAGTGGGGCTTTGTACACAGGTTAGGAAAAACCTGTAATAGACATTTACACCAAGTGATGTATTATATAGACATTAAGGTATATGAAATGTATAAAAAAAATATACATTATGTTGCAATTGCAATTCAATAATTTCAACAATTAATGATTACAAACCTGAACACACTGTAGTTACCTAAAGTGATAGCAGGAATTTTACTGTATCTTCACCATGTGTTATCCAGCTTCTTATTTCTTGTTTTAGTATGAATATGACTTTGTATGGAATGTATATGGAAAAGAAGCCACGCAACGCTCACCGTCCATATGACCCACAGTACAAGGAACAGCTAGCGATCATACGAGAAGAAAAGACACTTTATGAAGAGGAAACCATTGTAAAACGTAGCGATATACTACGCAACAAGAAACATCGTAACCTCAACAAAATGGTAAACGAGAATGACATATCAGCAGATGACTTATCGACACTGATCTCAGAAATAGAAACAGAGCTGAGGGAACAGAATTCATATCATTTTAGAAGTACAGACAAGGTTCAAGGTCAAGGTCAAGCAAGCCGACAAAAGCATGGCTACAAAAATGAGCACATCAATGTTTTAAAGAGACATTTTGGTGACCATGTTCAGGATAAAGAAGAAAATGAAATAGCAGAAATTTTAGATGAAGTAGAACGCGTTTTTGAAGCTAAGGATCAAGGGAAGCGTCAGGCAAATGTTGAGAGACATTTGTTCAGTAAACGCTGGTCAAAGAAGCCAGCTGTTAAGTTTGAAGACATGCTGGAAGATCTCTACAGAGAAAAGGTCCATTACTGAGTATGCTTCCTCAACAAATAGCAAGTGTGAATGTTTCATCATTTTAATTGTGAAAGTCAACACTGATGTAATTCATCTTTATTGTAAAGTTCAATACACTGAAGTACACACTGATTTTTTAAGAAGTGAAAAAATGTTTACTGGAAAAACTCTAAAGCTGAACTTGCTATTTGTTGTGAGAATGCTGTGTGTTATCCTCTGTGACCGACTAGCTGTCTCTGTGGAGTTACTTCAGAAGAAACTGCAAGACATTTCTGTCTGATCTATTTTTTTTTTTTTTGATAATTTTGGTACAAGGGTTGTCATTGTTGAAATTTTGTCATCTTTTTGATATTCCTTCTTATTATAGGAAAATGATAAAGGTTCTACTCTAAAAAATTCTATCTGTGCTGTAGACCTGTCCTTAAATATACCCTTTAACCATTTCCTATCTTTTATACCATTACTACCACATTGTAAATGTTCACTCAGATTAACAAACTCTCCTGTGATAATGATTGTAAAATTAGGATCTGTTTACTCTGATTACAAGCACTCTTGTGACATGGACCTAGGTAAGGCAGCTTCTGTTCAGAAGCTCATTGTACAAGCACTCACTGTAAGTGGAAACATTTCAATGAATGCCACAGTAACATTGTTGTAGAGAACTGAATAAATGCAAATTTGACTTGATGGTAGCAATCATTAGATAGTTTTCTTCCATCTAAATTCCCAGACACCATACTGGAAAGGAGTACACTGCATCCAAGGAATGAATATGAAAGTCAGCCATCAAGATAACAAGATCAATAGCCATGACCTGTCATATTTTCAAAGCCAAGCCGAGAGAAGATAAACTATGGCAAGTGATTCATTCTAGTTAGGCAGGGTCTGTTTACTGAATACTCACTTGAGACATAGACAGTATTGACCAACTCTCTTGTGACAATGGCTGTTTTTACAAGCTCTCTTGTGACAATGGCCGTTTTTAAAAGCTCTGTTGTGACAATGACCGTTTTTACAAGCTGTCTTGTGGAAATGGCTGTATTAACAAAATCTCTTGTGACTGACTGAATTTACAAGCTCTTTTGGAAATGGCTGTATTTACAAGCTCTCTTGTGACAATGGCTGTATTTACAAGCTCTCTTGTGACAATGGCTGTTATTTACAAGCTGTCTTGTGACTGTCTGAATTTACAAGCTCTCTTGTGGAAATGGCTGTTTTTACAAGCTCTCTTGTGACAATTGCTGTTATTTACAAGCTGTCTTGTGACTGTCTGAATTTATAAGCTCTCTTGTGGAAATGGCTGTTTTTACAAGCTCTCTTGTGACAATGGCTGTTATTTACAAGCTGTCTTGTGACTGTCTGAATTTACAAGCTCTCTTGTGGAAATGGCTGTTTTTACAAGCTCTCTTGTGACTGTCTGAATTTACAAGCTCTTTTGTGGAAATGGCTGTTTTACAAGCTCTCTTGTGACAATGGCTGTATTGACAAGATCTCTTTTGACTGACTGAATTGACAAGCTCTCTTGTGACAATGGCTGTATTAACAAGCTCTCTTGTGACAACGTCTGTATTAACAAGCTCCTTTGTGACAATGACTGTATTTACAAACTGTCTTGTGACAACGGCTGTATTTACAAGCTCTCTGATGTATTTAAAAACATTTCTGTGACAATAGCTTTGACAATTAATACAACCTACTTTTGGAAAGGTTGTTGCTTTAGAATGGTATATATACTGAGTAGATTTATCTCTACCAACACAGTAACCCAACTTATTAGTTGGGCCATCTTAGTACAGCTCTCACAATCTCTCTCTATATATTCCTTAGTATCCCTATATTAACCATTGACTATATCTGTATATACAATCCCTACTTTTACTATGGTTATATCTGTACATTTAGACCTTTTCTACTTTTATCTGTGGTATGGCTATTAACATTATAGCTTCCCTAATGTCTCTATATATGGTCTATTTCTATCTATAGTGCTGCTGTGTCTAAACAGATACAATATTTCTGCTTTTACGATTGTCTTCTCAAAGTATTAGCCTCCACATTAAAGTCAAATGAATACTTCGATAATTCTTAACAACTTGTTGATGTTTTAAAAAGAAAAGTTGTTTTTTTAAGTTTATCCTGAGATCTGTTTAATCTGAAATGGACATGCTTCACTGAAGATATATTTGATATGTTTATGATAATAATTGGATATATTTTGTAGCTGATCAAAAAAGGCTTTGATTGACTAGATACTTGTTGCTCTAGACCTCAAATTGTCCTAGTTCTTGGCATCAAATTGTCCAATAGCTGTAGACCACAAATTGTCCTAGTTCTTGGCATCAAATTGTCCAATAGCTGTAGACCACAAATTGTCCTAGTTCTTGGCATCAAATTGTCCAATAGCTGTAGACCTCAAATTGTCCTAGTTCTTGGCATCAAATTGTCCAATAGCTGTAGACCTCAAATTGTCCTAGTTCTTGGCATCAAATTGTCCAAAAGCTGTAGACCTCAAATTGTCCTAGTTCTTGGCATCAAATTGTCTAATAGCTGTAGACCTCAAATTGTCCTAGTTCTTGGCATCAAATTGTCCAATAGCTGTAGACCTCAAACTGTCCTATAGCACTGGACCTCAAATTGCCCTACAGCTCTAGAAATCATATTGTCCTATAGCACTAGAAATCAAATTGTTTTAGTTCTAGACGTACAATTGACCAATCTCTAGATAAAATTGCTCCAGGTCTAGGTATCAAATTGACCAACAGCTCTAGAGCTCTAGATCAATATTCCCTCCTTGAAAAATATTTTTCATGTATGAAGAATAACTTGTGCTCTCTGTAGAAATTGAATAGTGCTACATTGTAGAGATCAAATAAGTGGAAAAGACACTGGACAACAACTATATATAGTCTACTGCCACATTCCCGTGTTACTAATATATACCTTACATATAGTATATATAGTGTCCTGAATAGTTTTCTAACCTAGACCACATGTGATGGCGCCCACATTAAGATGTGATGATGTTGCAATATGTTTTTCAAAACTCTTAGAGTTGTCACTTTTTATAGAAAGTTAAGGTGTTTACCTTTGACCTAAGTTTAGATATTCTATGTTTGATATTTCTTTATACAGCACTTTTATGCTCTAAACTTTTCATTTCTTATGTAATGTCTGAATTCCAATGTCATGGTATGATGATATACCTAGGTATTAAACTTGATACTGAAATCCTGTACATGTATTTTACATTTTGCCATATGTAATATGTGAATCTGTTTGGTTGTCCCGTTTTTGAAGTCATATATATTTTATTATAATTGTGATTTCGTTAAATTTGTGAAATTCTAAATTTATGAAATCATTTACAATTATTGTTGAACCATAGAAAACTGATTATCTATTTTCCTGTTATATCTATATTAGCAATGTTATAACTGTCATCAACAGATGTGTACAACAGACTCATAAAAATGATGTGCAATTGATAAACCCACGCCACACACCAATGTTTACATGTATTGGTGTCTGTCTAAAGTGTTTCCATTGACTGGTCCAGTCCCAATCATCAGAGGTTAACAAAACACGTACAGTCCTGTTCAATCTGTTAATTCATTAACCTGGGGAGTGGGCTGGTCTTATAAAACACCTGCAGTCCAAAGTATCATATCAGCTGCAATCTTGTCATTCCACATCAATGGTGGACAGTTGTTTTTATGCAATATCATTGATGTAGTTTTAACAAAACTTTTTTTCTCATCTTGTTAAGAAATAAAACATTTGCTTAAAAGAATTTGAGTTGTTTTTAATGCTAGTTCATCATTGTTTCTGCTTTGTTTATAGTCATGGAAAGGACTAAACTTTTACTTAAAATAATTTCATAAGAACCTATATTAAAACCCTCCATGGTAAGGTCTGAAGCTGAATTAGAGTTAGGGGTGTCTACCCATCTGTGGCTGCAACGTTGTAGCGGTGACAACATTCTAATGAAGTGGAAGTGTAGAAGGAAAGAAGCCAAGTATTAATATCAGTACAACCTTATCTGTAGAGAGAAGTTGTACTGGGATGATACTAATATTTTCACATACTTTACAAGTGCATTCTAATTTTGGTAGAGAAAACATTATGTGCTATGGTGCTCTTCACATTGGGGTAGTGACATCATTTTATGTAACATAACCACGTCACATATTGATGACATCATCAATTTTAATGCACATTTCATGGAACATTGATAATGACACAATGAAAAGGTTCCACTTCAGCTTTACATTTGTTACTGCAACATAAATAATCAAATATGGGTGTGTTCTATGGACAGGGATTGTGTCTAGTGCTGACCAGCTAAACTCGGGTTGAGATGTCCTACCAGGAACAGTTTCTTGAAAGATTATTGGTCACATAATCCATCTGATTTGTCACATGACCCCGTCCATAGACAAGTTCTTTTTGGGTAAACCTTACTCTGTCATTGTTTATTCAGTCAAATATCTCTAAAGAAACTTGATGGATATTACTATGCTTGGGAACAAACGGAAACCAACAAGAATCTTTCTTTTGGGTTTTTTTTTGGCATCTTTGGAGATAACCACACACAAGATTATTATAACCTGTACAGACTGTTTTCTCACTTCTTTTTTATCGTTTTAAATTACAATGAAATTGTAACAGTTCACAGCTCTGAGATACCTTCAGATATATACAGAATATGGTTGAAACAAAGTCAAAGAATGACTTCTTGTTTAAAAATGTATTTATTTTCATATTCATATGTGTATATAAAATAAATATTTATTATTTCATGATTGACAAAATTACAAGGCTACAGTTATAAACAAAAAATCATTACAAACAAATGTGCATACGTTTCTTACTGTTATAACATTTATATGGCATGTTATATTGTTAGAACTACAGAAATAAGACATGGTGGACGGACCCTTTATTAATCTCCACAACCTTTACTTGTCTGTTATAGTATAAACACTTATCACTAAGGAACCTTGCTAAACATGATACTTCAATTTCACAGTAAAGTGAAACCATAGATTTACATCAGAACTTCAAGGAAATGCATTCAGTTCTATCAGGTCATTGTTTGGCTGCATGTAAGATTCTGAAACAAGTTCAATAAAAGTGTCACAAGCTCGCATCAATCTGAAGACTGCTTGCTAGTTATTTCAGTACCATCAAAGTCTGGTCTTATAAGGTACCACTGAACTTGAAAATCAGCCATTAATGACAAATCTATTACAACATAATGCTTGTAATTACATTTCCATCAAAAGCTACAGACAAAAGATTAGCCCTTCCCATCTGACCAACATGTGGCCCAAGGTGAGGTTTTCTCTATGTTCTGACTTTATGGAAAGCAACATGGTTTTTGGACACAATAATATTCCTTCTAGGGAAACAGTTTGATGAAATCATGTCAATATCTACAACAATTTACTGAAGAGAAATATCATTATCTGAGTTCTACTGAGATACTAGACTTAATGCATATATTTGAGATAGCTACACAAGATAATTAGTCATGTTCTCTGATTCAGCGACTCACTTAAAAATAATCCAGGAAAGGATTTTGATAACAGGATGGTATTTTACAAAGTCACTTCAACATTTGTGCCACTAAAATGCTGGATAAATAGTATATTCAAATGACTAATAGAATACATTCTTGAATGAAAAAAGTAATAATCACGCCCACTAGCTGCTGTAACTCTAGTTAAAACCTTCACTAACATTTTTATCACTCTTCCTTATTGGACAGTATGGCAGTGTATCTTTGTATGTGGGTAGAGATGGGTGTTGTAATCCGAGTATGAACGTAAGGGTTTTCAGTGAATTTTCAATACTTTCATTTGGCTACACTGTTGTATGTCTACAACTATACATGTAGTTACGAGTATTGTGTTATCACTTCTGATGTGTTTTGTCTCTGTATGTTGCATAATATATATATAAACAAGTATATCTATATATATAATGAGAAAGGATCATTGGGATCTTCTTCTCAAAATTGGTAACAGTTATTAGCTTAATGAGAGCAGGCATTGTAATCATACTTGTACAACGTGGCAACAGCCATGCCACCACAAAGGGGAGTAACCCTCAAACACTCTTTAGCATATCTACCACATTTCCTTACACACTCATCACTCTTACTATCACTGGCAACAGGGTAAACAAAATGGCAGACAACTGTTTCATCAACTTGGATTATCTCCTCTTCTCAAACTCCTTCCTGATCCAGACTGAGTCCTGATAAAACCGTGGATCTCCTAATTTCAAAGCTGTTCTTTTATAGAAGTAGTAATACAACACAGCACCTGTAGAACATAAACCATGGAGAGGCATTTGTACAGCACAGCACTTGAAGAACATGAACCACTGTCAGTCAGTAATACAACACAGCACCTATATATATATATTAGAGTATAGATCATTTTCAGTCAGTAGTACAACCAAGCACTTGTGGACGTAGACTTTAATCAACCAGACTTTCACAACATAAAAATGATGTTTTACGAAAAAAATTGAAAGCAAGTCTGGCGTTCAAATTAAGAAATATCTATGCCAAACTGATCATATCTTTGAACCTGTATTTAAATCACAATTGCCTGTTTTGATTAGTTTTGATTATTTTTTATTCAAATACAGAAATAACATTGTAATTCCAACTGAACTATGATGTTTACATAGACTGCTGTACCTACCTGCTCTCTGTATCACAAATATAGGTAGAAATCCTGGTGTATCCCATATATACCTATTGGGACTGTCCCATCGCAGGGTCTGAAAAATGTACATCATTAGTCAGTTCATACAGCTACAATCAAACAACAAACCTTACCAGTCAGATCACACAAAACTATGTAGATCTAGTAATCAGCACAGCTATAATTATTAGAGTGGTCAATAAATATAACATCACTGTAATCAGCCCACACAAAACTGCAGATCTAGTATATCTTGATCTGACTTCAATTGCCAGCAGGCATATCAATACAGACTTATTTCACTCATACTCGTTTTTACAACAGGGCCATAATCTACATCAATACTTACTCTTTTACATGTATGTGCTTGTATTTACAACTTACCATTTCACATGTAGGTCTAGACCATTAACCTCTTTAAATACACCATTATAGAAAACTTACCATTTCCCAAACATGTAGGCCGACATTAAGACCAAAGTAGATGAATGTAACACCAATCACCATCTTGAATTTGTTGATTAGAATGTTGACCAAGCCAGCCTGGAATATGTATGTGTTGAAGAAAAGGAGGAAGACTACAATCACTGCAAAGATGATACATACATCTTGTACCCTGTAACAAATAGAAAATTCATGTACATACCATGTTTAGATTATCAATACAAAATCTGTACCCTAGCTATAGCTGGACAGTATTAATCAAGAAATACAGGTATTTCTAACTTCCAACCAAGCACTGGTTCAATTTTTAATTATCAGTTTTGGACAAAGTACAGATTCCTCACTGCTACTTATTTTGATTCAAGAATAAAATCCAATTATCAAAGTTTTACTGACCAATGATATTTCCATTTCCTATCAATGAGTTATACTTACACAAACATAACAAGGAGGATGACATTTTCAAATCGCAACAACTCAATAAATGAGTTCATAAACAGGTCAACCAGGAGGAGGAAGTACTGGAGGTAGAGGATGGGGCGATATCGTTCCACCAACATGATGGCCTCTGGTGTGTATATTCGTCCGTACACAATAACAAAAAATCGTTTTACATGTCACTATGTCAGATCCATCATAAGTATTTGGAGATCTGTAAAAGTTTGAAGAAACATTTAAACAAACGTTTTTTTTATCATTGTCATAATTACCTAGACTGAATAATAACTGCACGCGTTTTTATTGGAATTAACTGACTTTTGTACACATTTCTGTTTGAAGCACACTCATTGTGCACATTACTGTTTGAAGGCACACTCATTGTGCAATTTACAAACAGAGTATGTTCCTGAATTACCATTATTAATTTTGTATCAAATTGCATGTCGTTCATCGACATTACATATCCAATTTACAAATATGTAACTCAAACTTTCAAATCAGCAAAATCTAGAATTCTTCGGAACGTAACAGTTACTGTATTAGGCCTACATGTAGAATTTATTGTGAGATTGTGTTGAAACTTGTCCTAAAGTGGTACGCATTTAACCCTTCAAAAAACACACGCATATTTTACATATGTTTTGATGAGTATCATAGACATATTCAGGTGAACAAAACATGTGTTACTGCATAAATAAATTTGATATGATTTAATAAACTTACCACGAATTGAGAATATCACAGTCCTATACTTTTCGAGCGGCCATTACTGTTTACGATGGCTACCTCTGAGATATCGCGAAATCACGTTTTATCTCATTTGTATTTGCAAAGAATTCTGAAATAAAATGTCATTGACAGCAGCACAAATGATATCAGTGGAAATAATTGATACTTATAGTAATTTATTTTATACATATTGATGTCCATTCTCCCTTTAAAACTCAAAAATCATTTAACTTAATTTTGGTCACATGACTATCAGTTCGAGAACAAACATGGAGGACTGAACGCGGGAATGTTGACAGGAAACTGTTTTTTGAGTCATAGATTAGAATGTTGCTGGTTAAAAGCTTGATATGGAATTAAGAGCTCATGAGTTTCAAAGGTAATAAACACCGATGTATTGACGGTCGTTTACACTTTAGCTGTCGGTCGCCAAGTGTTTGATTATGCAAACTTCCAATCAGCTGATGTTTTACTTACTTAGCGATGTTTTGCTGCAATAAAATGCATTTGCACACCTTGGGGCTATATGCTTGACATCTGCATTATGACCTCTACCAGCTGTGTATGAGTGATTAGAATCAAGTCATTCAGAGTGTGTTTTAAGTGATGGAAGTGGTCTGGTAGGACATTTCATATTTTTAGTGCTTGTGATCTGAAATATTGTTTTTTGACAGTTACAATTGTTATAGCTATTTCTTTCATGGGACAGGTCATTTTGTATGATAGATTCACCTGGGCCCTTAGTTTTGCATTGTCCAATTTGGGGCTGATCTGTGATCAGAGAAAGAAAATGGTTGACAAATGTTCATCATTTTGTACAGTTTATATTGCTTAGATGTATGTGTATGGCCTTTGTTTATTGATAATATCATATGGTTAATTCACCTATCAATACAACATGTGATAAAATTTAAGAGAAAACAACAGAAAAAAAGAAGAAGGGCAAATATCCAATTTATAATGAGCTGATAAATACACAAAGGCAGGTGCCAAGTCCCTCTTGTTCTGATTTATAATACTTCATGTTGATTGATCCTAATCACCACTTTCAATGTAACTGAGGAGACAATTTAGTAAATAACATATAGCATCAAGTTACACATAGAATTGTTTATTTTTGAACAGCCTTTTAAAGGTCAGGAGTCCCATCCCAATGAATTCTGCATTGTGAATGATTGTCTAGTCTTTTCTTCATACAGAGAATTACTACCAATTAATATGTCATATTTTACATATTTTCAGGTGTAAATGATGACTTGACCAGTTTGTTACTCGTGTTGAAATGGGACACCTTGATATTCCATATTGGAAGCTTTATCTGTATCCAGTCAGATGATATATTGCTGTTACTGTGAGATTAATCGAACTATATAACAAATAAACATGAGTGAGTTTAAAGTCCACCACCATGTCAGCGAGCTGTTGAACCTTCTTGGGTAATGTATTACCTGTAATTTCTTTTGTTAAAGCTAGGATTTTATTTGATACCTAATTTTGTGATATCCTGTCATGGTCAATATTGATTAGGATGGGAAAGTGAAAGATAAATCAAGTTTTATGTGACTATCACATACCTACAACTAAATACTAATAAATTAATGTCATTCAATTTTTTTTAAGTGTTTCACTTATGTTTTAATTTTTTTACTATGAGGAATGTAGCTGGGGTTAAGGGAATGCATATCATTCTGAAACTCCAGATTTAAGGAATAAAGGAGTGATAGGAACCTGTTATGTTTTGTAGAATGCGATCAGCTGACCCGGTGGGAGCTGAGGTATACACAGAAATGCTATTGAATAATATGAAACCCTACATAACAACACAGGTGAGACACCAACAGCATTATACTTAACCTGTACCCAGGTCATTTTTAATGAAGATGACATTAGTCAAGGTAATTGCCAACCTGAAGAAAATGTTTCAAAGTATATACTTGTTGGTATTAGCTCATTTTCAAATGTCCATCTGATTATGTGCTGCTATCTTATTGTAGAAGTTATCTCATCACTGGCTCGCAATCAGTTGTAAATGTCAGCATACCTGGTTGTAGCTATGAGATGTCTATTTATTGTAGATCTTAAGATGTCATCTCTTACATTTCCATTTTTACATGCAGGTGTCTGCCCATCAAGCAAAAAGGAAGATAGCTGGCTCTACACAAACACCCATTGAATTTCTTGCCAAGTATGATGACCTTAAGGCCAAAAAGTAAGGCTTATAGAAATCAGATGGTTTCAGGAACTTACTAGAGGTGTTGTATGTTTGAAAGTAGTGGAAAACAAAATAACTGACAGGCAAAATAACTGTTGTCTAGGATTTTGATGTTAAGTTGTGATACATTGTGGATGGATCCTTCTCAACTTTCACAGGAAGATTCGCTTGTGTCCTTAATTATGAATATTTTTGGGACTGATCTGAAAAACAAAATGTCAGAGAGGTGACATTCTTGAATTCTGAATACAAGCAGTTAATCAGTTGTGTGATAGATGAGAATATTGTATGTAGGTAACCCTATTTTATTATTTATGTTATATAAAAATAGAATAAACTTAATTTATTTTACAATAATTGTGAAACGACCTATAAGCTTATGTTAATAACTGTTGTTGGCCTGGATGTTAGCACATGAGGGCTCTTATTGTGGGAGGACAACCCACATAATTGGCAGGTGACCCAATACCTTTTCACTTCCATTCTGGCAATCTAACCCTGGATTGCTAGATAAAAGGCGAGTGCGTTTCCACTGTGTCACCCAACCAACAACCCATTAATGATGTTATATGATTTAAAGAAGAGAACAGAACAATGTAAGAACCAGTAAAGATAATGGGAAGGCAGGTGCCAAGATTCCTCTGGGATCTCTTGTTGTGATTTAGCATACTATGTAAACATTGTGACTAAGCAGTATATATGAGTGTTAATTTTCTTCCTTGCAGTGTGCGAGACCTGGATCCCTTAGTGTTCCTGTTGTCTAAGTTAACTGAGGAAGAACAGGTAATGTGTTCAACATCATGAAGGTGTAAACAGAATAACTAGGTGAATCAAGTTGTAAGAGACCACTTGACTCAGAAACTATTTATAGGACTTTGTTATTAAAAGTAAAGTGATCTTTTATCTCCTCCCAGCAAATCGGATCAAAAGATTAAAATGTTAGTTTCATATGCACTTCATTGAAAGTTTATAAGTTACTTGGGGTTTTCAGTTTTCTCTATATGAACCCTCAGTGACAATTTTAGTCTTTATTTAAATAGTGTACACAGAAACTGGAGTAATTATTACACAGAACCTATATTAACTGTAGATTTCAATGGCATATACTACTTCTTATGTATTTACAGACTTATTTAAATTTTTTTTTTTTTTTTTGTTATTACCTAATAAAAATTTGTTTCTTGCAGGCGAACATACCACATTGTTCTAGCATGCAATTTAGTACTCCAGTACTAATGATGTGGAAATGATATAAAATATATTCTGTACACCACCACCATTTCAGACAAAGGAGTTCATAGAAAAGCATGCCAAGGACAAGGCAGAAGTGGCAGGGATGACACTTGTTCCTCACGACAGAGTCACATCACAGTTACCTGCCCCTGGTACTAAATTGTCTGTACAGGAACTATCTGAAGTAAGTTGACCTAGCACATCATAATTTGGAAATCAGTTGACCTGTGTATTTTTAAAGTTTAAATATTGATTTACACAGTTCTGTTGTGTTTTAATTTAAATGTAATTAAATTATTACAGATTCGGGACAAGCTACTGAAAGAGGCAAAATCTGCTCCTACAACAACATCATCGGAGATCCTTACAAAAGCTCTCCGTGAAAAACAACTAAAACGCAATGGTGAGTTTACAGTTCAGGTTGCGTTAAGTGCCTGTATGGTTATAATATAGTAATTTAGTAGTTTAGGATCAAGGTAATAAAATTCTTTGTTTATGTTTTTAATATAAATGTCCCTAGAATACTATGAAGGTCACAGTAATCAAACAAGATTGTTTTAAGGCCGAGAGCAGTATTGCTTTGAGGTGTTTATCAGCACCAATCTTCAAAACTGTGTTTATATTAAAATCATTTTCAAAAACATTGTGCTAATATTGGTTTTAATTAGTAAACAGGTCTCATGCAGACCAGAATCATTCTGTGTTGAAATGTTATGATTGTGTTTGTTGATTTATTTGTTACACCATCACTATGGTTTATTATTGATGTTTGTAGTAAATATTCCTCACCAACCTGACTGGCTGTTTCAGCGACCATCGCTGACCTTAGACTTCATTGTAGGTGTGGATGAACCAACTGATCAGGTATACACAGAAATATTCTTATGTCCATTATATCTGAGAGATTATTTTGTATACAGAATATTGTACAGTCTGTCTCTATATAAGATCTGTCTATACCTGTATGTGACCTTTTATGTTCATAGAACATTGTATCCATGGGGAGTCTCTCTCTATATCTATATGTGACCTTTTATGTTCATAGAACATTGTATCCATGGGGAGTCTCTCTCTATATCTATATGTGACCTTTTATGTTCATAGAACATTGTATCCATGAGGAGTCTCTCTCTATATCTATATGTGACCTTTTATGTTCATAGAACATTGTATCCAAGGGGAGTCTCTCTCTATATCTATATGTGACCTAGTTATTTTGTACCAACAGAACACTGTACTCGAGGGGAGTCTCTCTCTATATCTATATGTGACCTAGTTATTTTGTACCAACAGAACACTGTACTTGAGGGGAGTCTCTCTCTATATCTATATGTGACCTAGTTATTTTGTACCAACAGAACACTGTACTCTAGGGGAGTCTCTCTCTATATCTATATGTGACCTAGTTATTTTGTACCAACAGAACACTGTACTCTAGGGGAGTCTCTCTCTATATCTATATGTGACCTAGTTATTTTGTACCAACAGAACACTGTACTCTAGGGGAGTCTCTCTATATCTATATGTGACCTAGTTATTTTGTACCAACAGAACACTGTACTCGAGGGGAGTCTCTCTCTATATCTATATGTGACCTAGTTATTTTGTACCAACAGAACACTGTACTCGAGGGGAGTCTCTCTCTATATCTATATGTGACCTAGTCATTTTGTACCAACAGAACACTGTACTCAAGGGGAGTCTCTCTATATCTATATGTGACCTAGTTATTTTGTACCAACAGAACACTGTACTCTAGGGGAGTCTCTCTCTATATCTATATGTGACCTAGTTATTTTGTACCAACAGAACACTGTACTCGAGAGGAGTCTCTCTATATGTGACCTAGTTATTTTGTACCAACCGAACACTGTACTCGAGGGGAGTCTCTCTCTATATCTATATGTGACCTAGTTATTTTGTATCAACAGAACACTGTACTCGAAAGGAGTCTCTCTATATGTGACCTAGTTATTTTGTACCAACAGAACACTGTACTCGAGGGGAGTCTCTCTCTTTATCTATATGTGACCTAGTTATTTTGTACCAACAGAACACTGTACTTAAGGGGAGTCTCTCTATATCTATATGTGACCTAGTTATTTTGTATCAACAGAACACTGTACTCGAGAGGAGTCTCTCTATATGTGACCTAGTTATTTTGTACCAACAGAACACTGTACTCGAGGGGAGTCTCTCTATATGTGACCTAGTTATTTTGTACCAACAGAACACTGTAACTCAGAAGAGGCAGTCTGTTTCTGTATCAATATAAGACCTAATTATTTTATACTCATGGAACATTGCACCTCTGGAGAGTCTCTCTATACCTTTATACACACAGAACATTGTACCGTTGGGAAGTCTTCCTTTGGCGCTACAGGAAAACTCCATCATAGAAGACATCCTGTGTTGCATGCAGGTAATATATATTATTTTACTATATGGTACTTTTAATAACACATATGTGAATATTATCTATTGTATATCCAAAACATTTTTGTTGCTTTTTCTTCGTTTATGAAGGTTAATGTTTTTGGTTGAGTGTACACTAACACATAATATTTGATGTTAACAGGGTATTGAGGGAAAGTACATCCTTGCCAGAGCTCTAACAGAGAGATACGCACCAAAGGAGTTCATGATTGACCAGAGTCTGGGCACGTAACATTAAGAATAATATATTTCATCAAAACCAAATATATACATAACTAGACTTAAACAGTATACATGAAATCACCATCATATGATTATCGCCCCTTGTCTATATTCTGTCGTTCTTACTTGCCTGTCGCAGAACATTTTTGTCTTCTTTTTTGTAATTTAGTTTAATGCTGGTTATTTAGTTATGACTGCAAAACCTGTAAAATGTGATGTAATCCTTGACATGATGTCATGTGTAGACATTTTGTGTTACAGATCCTTCCCTTCAGGAGCTGGTGCGACGTCAACTACCTCTGTGTTCTAACTATTCCACAGTAGTCCGCTTTATAGAAGGTATAGTGTCCTGTTTAAGGTGTAGTGTCTGTCAGTTATTGTAGTATGATTTGTAGAAATTTGATATTCATCTGTACACATCTGTATTGAAGTGTATTTTGTTGAAAAGCCTCCTATCTAGAGGGACAAATACTTATCATGTAAACAACACAACACCTTTAAGTACAGGTTTTAATGATGTCTCATTATATTGTTTCTCTAGAGAAATCAGCATTTGAGTACGGACTTGTGAACCAAGCCTTGAGTGCAGCCATGCGTACCCTGATTAAGGTGAGTTGCCTTTTTCCATGTATTCTTTTTTGATATTTGATACATTCTGGTATGTTAGTCTTGTCTTTTAAATGATTCACATGACGAAAATGGAAAAACAAATTGCTGTGTATCTGCCATAGGGCATTTTGATATTGAAGATGAGTTTTTGTAAATTGTATTGATGAAGGAAATCATGATTTATTTCTAATGAAGGTATTTCGATATTAATGATGAAGTTTCTATACATTGTATTGATGAAGGGAATCACCATGTATTTCTAGCGAGGGTATTTTGTTATTAATGAAGGCATTTGTTATTAACAGGATTACATGATACTGGTGGCACAACTGGAGCATCAGAGTAGACTGGTGAGTAGTTAGTAGTCACAACTAAGATGTATTGAGTTGCTACTTGTTTCAAAGTCTAGGAATTATTTATTTCATATCAAAGATAAAAACCCCATTAATATTGCTCTTAAAAGTTCCTGTTAACTTTTTTCTTCACTGTTTCTTTTATTTAAAAAATACTTCTCCTCTTTAATTCAACCATAGATGTTTACTAGTCCTACAAATTATGTTAGCAATATTTTCTACACATCATCAGATGAAGATAAAATATACTTTCAGCCATTTTTTCTCCTGTCTGATCCAACCACATTCTTTTATGAATCATTGTCATATCCTGGGTATCTCTGAACAGATTTGGTTCACATATACACCACAGTATCGTAACATTCTACACCTGATCAGATTTTCCATAGACGAGCATGAGCATTCTTGATTTACTGACATTGCCAAAACGAAAGAGCAACAATGGAACTCTTTATTTTGTGACTTTTACGTAATTAACATTGGTGGCTTTTATGACTTGGGAATCTATTACAGGGAAACCTTACCCTACAGAAAGTGTGGTTTTACATTCAACCTACAATGAGGACGTTGGAAATCTTAGCAGGTGTTGCCAACTCAGTCAACAGGGTAGGTATGATGTGTCCCCTAGATTACAGGTGTTGTCACCTGTCAACAGGGTAGGTATGATGTGTCCCCACAAGTACAGGTGTTGTCACCTCAGTCAACAGGGTAGGTATGATGTGTCCCCACAAGTACAGGTGTTGTCACCTCAGTCAACAGGGTAGGTATGATGTGTCCCCTAGATTACAGGTGTTGTCACCTCAGTCAGCAGGGTAGGTTTGATGTGTCCCTACAAGTACAGGTGTTGTCACCTCCGTCAACAGGGTAGGTATGATATGTCCCCTAGATTACAGGTGTTGTCACTTAAGTCAACAGGGTAGGTATGATGTGTCCCCTAGATTACAGTTGTTGCGAACTCAGTCAACATGGTAGGTATGATATGTCCCCTAGATTACAGGTGTTGTCACCTCAGTCAACATGGTAGGTATGCTATGTCCCCTTGTTTAGTCCTATTTCTTGTCATAGTGGTCAGGTTCTCTCTACTGGACATTGATGTTTTATTTCTTACAACCTGTGTCTTACAGGTGCTTTTTTGTATGTCTTTCTCTCTGATACCTACATTTCAATTAAGACTTCTACATCACATTACAGGGAGAGTGTATTGGAGGTGTAGTTCTGAGTCTCCTTCATGAGAAAACCTCAGGCTTGATAGGGTAAGTTACAATATGTTACAAGTTTTATGTGTGAAAATAGAATGATAAATTTTCAAAGAAATGATAATGATATATTTAGTGACAAGAAATATTGTATGATAAGGTTTATCAATATTATAAAGATATGTTTGCTTTACATGATTATCTGTGTCAAATGATTGGTAGGATAATTTAGATATAATGCTGTTGTAGGGACTCCAAAGGACAAGAGCTGTGTCTATATCTTACCCAGTCAGTAAGTATCTGTAACTATAGAGGGCATATCTTTTATTAACTTCTGTTATTATTATTTCTTACGTCAAGGATACTAGCTGTTTATTTAAACCTTTTATTTGTTTCAGATTTTAAAAAAAAATAAAATAAAACATGTCTTTTAGGTCCATTGTTTTGCGTCACAGATGATTCTATTTTTCCAACCTAAGTCATCAATATCTTATATTGACAGGCCTGTGTTCCATACTTTGAAATCTTGGAGAAATGGATCTACAAAGGAATCATATCCGACCCTTACTCTGAGGTCTGTATGTTACTGTTAAAACCAAACATCAATTGCTGTGTTGTTTGAATTTCCTCTCACCTATTGTGCATTTTATTAGATATAGAAAAGATTTCTTGGTCTAATACACAACAAAGTCTTGTCCCATATTTACTTGGTCTAATACACAACAAAGTCTTGTCCCATATTTACTTGGTCTAATACACAACAAAGTCTTGTCCCATATTTACTTGGTCTAATACACAACAAAGTCTTGTCCCATATTTACTTGGTCTAATACACAACAAAGTCTTGTCCCATACAATGATTCCTGTGATTTTAGTTCCTGGTAGAGGAGAATGAGACAATACAGAAATAGAATGATTCCTGTGATGATTCCTGTGATTTTAGTTCCTGGTAGAGGAGAATGAGACAATACAGAAATAGAATGATTCCTGTGATTTTGGCCTGGTAGAGGAGAATGAGACAATACAGAAATAGAATGATTCCTGTGATTTTAGTTCCTGGTAGAGGAGAATGAGACAATACAGAAATAGAATGATTCCTGTGATTTTAGTTCCTGGTAGAGGAGAATGAGACAATACAGAAATAGAATGATTCCTGTGATTTTAGTTCCTGGTAGAGGAGAATGAGACAATACAGAAATAGAATGATTCCTGTGATTTTAGTTCCTGGTAGAGGAGAATGAGACAATACAGAAATAGAATGATTCCTGTGATTTTAGTTCCTGGTAGAGGAGAATGAGACAATACAGAAATAGAATGATTCCTGTGATTTTAGTTCCTGGTAGAGGAGAATGAGACAATACAGAAAGAGAAGCTTCAGGAAGACTATAATGATGCATACTGGGAACAACATTACACTATCTGTAGGGAACGCATTCCTGTCTTCCTAGAACAAGTCGCTGACAAGATCCTTAACACCGGCAAATATCTGAATGTGATTCGTCTCTGTGGTGAGTAATTATGGTCATTTGCAAAATCCTAACACTGACAAATATCTAAACATGACTTTTCCTCAACTATTGTAATATTGCTGTAAGTAAACTGTTGCTGTAACTATTGCAAAATTGCTGTAATAAGAATTTAAAGTTCAATAAGACGAGCCTCAAAATATTGTTTTGTTGAAAGGACGGGATATTAAGTGTCCTAGTGCTGAGGAGATTGTGTACACCCTGAAAGATCGACGGTACACTGAGCAGATCGAGGGAGCTTACAACTATGCCAGCAAGGTGCTCCTGGAGCTGCTAATGGAGGAGAAACAGCTAATGGCTCGAATCAGGCAAGTGGTTACCTCTACTTCCTTGTTGTCCTTATAAGTACTTTCTGATCTGTTTATAATGAACATAGATCTACACAAATAACAAATATTCTGACTTCTGGATTATTAGATTTCTCTGTGATATTTAACTTCATTCTTGGCACATGGCTGATATCTTCGGTTATCTATTCAGATATTTGAAAAAGCTGAAATTCATTCGAATAACATTTTGGTTGTTTAAACCTAATGTAGATGACAGTTAAACTATTATGTAGAACAGGTACATTGCTTTTGATAGATCTATGAAGCACTACTTCCTACTGGACAAGGGAGACTTCATTGTTCAGTTTATGGATATGACAGAGGAAGAGATGAAACAAGACATAGATAAAATCATGCCAACACGTCTAGAGACTTTACTGGAGCTTGCTCTTCGGACCAGCACTGCTAATGTTGACCCCTTCAAGGATGACCTCAGGTACTGTATAGGGAAGCATCTAGCGGCCCCTGGCTGTATGCAATCCTTGTTTTTAAAAAAAATTCCTTCACTAATATCCCCAAATATAGACCATTTCATGGATGACTTTATGTGTGTATTTATATAAACACATTCATGTGTTGTATGGACTAAAAATTGACACAGATTAAAAATTGGGGGGGGGGGGGGGTGGAGACGTGACATTTCATGACAAATTCACAGTTTAACCTGCAATGATGTATCTAATGAAAAAATTCATGTCTTGATTGCAGAGTAGAATTACTTCCGTTTGACCTGATTACACAGCTCTTCAAGATCCTAACTATTGACACAAAGCTGGAGAAAGGTAAACATACAAAAATGCTTGATACGAAAGGCATGATGTGAAATATTTTGATAAGGATGTAGATTTATTGGGGATAAGGATACACAAAATGTCCATGGTTGTCTGTAGGCTTAGAACAGCTGTGGAGTATTCATCATCTCAAATTACTAGGGCCTATTTCATAAAAGATACACCACGTTAAGCATTTTGCCTGAAGCATGTAGCATAATTTTGTCTGAAGCATTAAAAGTCAGCAATCAATAATGTCCAAAATGAAATAAACAAATGACAACACCTCTTTTCATTGTTGATATGACAATGTAATCCAGCTATAAATCAACAGGAAATTACCAACATGTCAACATAATCTAAACAATAGTTCAATAAAAATAGGTAAAATATGAACAAAAGAAAGATTTACACAAAAACTCTTGAAAAAAGTAAAAGGAGATTAAGAACAGGTGTTCCAGAAGAGTAAGCGTCTTCTGCATCATCGATGGCACTCGCCATGTAACACTTTGTCAACTTAAGTAAGTAATGTCATCTTCTGAAATGAGAATGAGGTACACATCAATGGTACCAACAGGCAAAGTTATGAGCATCTGACACGTCCAGATTCATTTTGCACAAAGAAATAGAATAGCTCTCAATGAGATCACTTCGACAGCCATAAAACTTCCCAACAATTTTCATCAACCTGTATCTTTTGAAATCCTGTGTTACAAGTTTGTCTGTCAGTTTACTTTTTGCCCTTGACTATTGCATCAGCTGTGACATAAATACACCATTTGTTGTGAATGCAGGTAGGTGGCTATGTAGAAATAGAAAATTCACAGTATGGAAATTGAAGTCATCACACTTATCATATAACTTGGTTGAAAATTGTCCATGTTAGTTTCGTTATAGGAAAAGATTAAGATAAATGGCTGAGGTAGAAGAGTCAGCCGTGTCCTTGATTTCCAATCTGGTGGTTATATATAATGGATGTATTCAATTAATTTCTTCTTATAAAAGACAAGTTGTCATCAATATATCTGAATGAGAAATTCAACGACTTTGATAGCTCTTCGATAAATTCAGTCTTGTACAAAAACAAAAACAAATCTGTCAACAAAGGGGCACAGTTAGTTTCCATAGGTATGATTTTCATGATTCTTTTTCTTTGATTTAAATGTGTTTTTTACCAAATATGCTTTAGTTTAGTTCACAGCTATATATTTGTACTATTCTTCACATTTCTTAGAAAACTCTGATAACAAGAGAACACAGGCATTCTTTCAGTTAAGAATGGGGTAGGATGGTGTACAGAGAGGAAGAATAAAATATTCTTATATAAGAAATTTTTTTAGAAGAGGATGTTATGAATAAGATATTTTTCTCATGAATTTAGGTCATCTTCAAATTAAAGATACCTTTAAATGAATTGAAAATAAAGTGTTCATCCAACAGACTTACACCTGTACAGTGTGTATTACAGAGTTGACCCAACAGACTTACACCTGTCTGGACTAGAGTCTTTCTCTGGCTGTGTTGTAATCATGTTGTACAGTAGAGCTGTGTGTTACAGATTACAGAGTTGACCCAACAGACTTACACCTGTCTGGACTAGAGTCTTTCTCTGGCTGTGTTGTAATCATGTTGTACAGTAGTGTATTACAGAGTTGACCCAACAGACTTACACCTGTCTGGACTAGAGTCTTTCTCTGGCTGTGTTGTAATCATGTTGTACAGTATAGCTGTGTGTTACAGATTACAGAGTTGACCCAACAGACTTACACCTGTCTGGACTAGAGTCTTTCTCTGGCTGTGTTGTAATCATGTTGTACAGTATAGCTGTGTGTTACAGATTACAGAGTTGACCCAACAGACTTACACCTGTCTGGACTAGAGTCTTTCTCCTTTGACTATGTTGTTAAGTGGCCAGTATCTTTGGTCGTCAATAGAAAGGTAGGTACATATATATATATATATATATATATACACTTACATTCTATCATGGTAGCACTTGATAAAATCTGACAAAGCATATGCATCAGTATATAAGTCAATAGAAAGGTAGGTACATATATATATATATATATATATATATTTATTCTATCATGGTAGCACTTGATAAAATCTGACAAAGCATATGCATCAGTATATAAGTCAGTTGTTCATTAGAATTTAAATCACATGACCATCAGTATATAAGTCACATGACCATCAGTATATAAGTCACATGACCATCAGTATATAAGTCACATGACCATCAGTATATAGGCTGTATTCTTTATTTGCAGTGACTTAGTTTGGTTTCTGCATTTGATTTTTGTTCTAGTTTTTGTTTTTTATGTGGTCTGAAGATGTATTCTATCCTGTTCAGCTCCTGTAACTGTGCAGTATTTTTCAGGCACTCACCCGGTACCAGATGTTGTTCCGTCATCTGTTTTACTGCAAGCATGTAGAAAGACAATTGTGCAGGTGGGTTACTTACTTAATATGTATATATTGTTAATCAAACACTCATAAACATCACTCTGTCTAAACAACACACATCACTATGCCTAAACAACACATTAATCACTGTTTCAACAACACGCATCACTCTGTATCACTAACACAAACATCATCATGTCTAAACAACACACATCACTCTGCTGCACTAACACAAACATCATCATGTCTAAACAACACACATCACTCTGTATCACTAACACAAACATCACCCTGTCTAAACAACACGCATCACTCTGTATCACTAACACAAACATCACCCTGTCTAGACAACACACTTCACCCTTTATAAACAACACTTTAATCACTAAAGCCCAGCCCTAGGGCATAATATTAAAAAAATTAGGATTTTTGCCTGTTTCTTTCACTATTCCATGCATCTGTTGTCATCTGTTGGCATATAGCATCAATAGAAGGAATGTATGTCCTGAATTTTAGTGTTAGAATGAGACAGAGGAAATGAAAGGTTTGCTTTTGATTCGTTACTTCATTGCAAAACATTTACATTGCATAAGGAAGAGAGCGATATTCGTGTTCTCACAGAGTTCCTGAATTCTTTTGGAGAATACCAGAATCAGGGGGAACATGAATAGTACTGATCTGAGCAATCATTTGGCAAGATTCTTCTTATGTTATTGTTAAAACGAAAGACAGACAATAAAAAGATCCCTTTGTATACAATAACTGCTACCTAAACACCTGTAGATATTCCACAGCTACAAAGCACCTGTCAGGAAGGCATGCATTTCCTTAAAACCAAAAGATACATGTAACATCATGTAATTAGTCTGAAATTCTCATAAAACTTCTTCACAATACAGAGAATCACATTGAAGCAATGTTTTTCCTAGATTTCTATCCCATTGAATTAACAGTGTAATAGTCTGGTGTGGTAAGTACTCCAGACCTGTACCTGTATCATTATAGGAGGATCATGAAATTGTATAATGTGTACAGATAGCTTCAGTGGTAAGACTACTTGATAAGACTACACTTTGTATTCTGTTTGTGACTCAGTAAATGATACTAGTTAAAAAAAGTCTAAAGGTAATGGTGAGTAAGACTCATCCTCATAAGTAAGGCAATTATCTGTGTTATCCTACTTCTTAATTAAAACTGAAAGATTTTAGACAGTCTTTTGCTCTAGGGAATGTTACAACCAAATAATTCTGTGTTTTATATATGATGTATCTCTAGTCCTTGTGGGGACAACAGAGTCCAACAACAAAAAATAGACTGTTGTTCAAGCCCTACTCCTCAGTACAAAGTTATTTCAATCCGATTTGGCCTAAAATATATTTCATACAAGGTTCCATAGTGTAACTCAGGGAGAGGCTGTATTATTAAGAGACATGATCTGGTGTTACTCCTGTGAGGTATGGGGTGTCTGTTGTGATATGGAATGATTTTACTAGTAAGAGGGATGATCTGGTGTTACTCCTGGGAGGTATGGGGTGTCTGGTGTTACTCATGGGAGGTATGGGGTGTCTGGTGTTACTCCAGGGAGGTATGGGGTGTCTGGTGTTACTCCTGGGAGGTATGGGGTGTCTGTTGTGATAGGGAATGACTACATTGCTACATTACTGTGTGTTATGTAGAATACAACAGATTACCAAACTGTAAGTATATATATATATATATATAACTGGTTATTATACTGATGTATATTTCTGATGTAACAGTTAAAAGTATATCTGATACATATAACATGTATTTGTCTGTCTCTAGTTTCTCTCTGTTGTATTGCTCAGCCTAGTGTTCTTCATCCTCGTGGTGACTCAGGAATCTTCTGTTTGTCAAATTGTATTGTCAAATACATTTAACAAGTGAAAGTTTCCTACATGGTATGCCAGTCAGTTCTTGGTATATGAACAGAACATGTCCTCAGCCATTCAGTACCGAATGTATTATAAGTAAACATACCAGGATTTTTTTACTGAAAATATCCAAAAACAGGGGATAGGAGATTGTATACTGTAATGGGATCATAACAAGATGAGATTTTTTCCTGTAATTCATATCATATATTATTATAAGTAAACATACCAGGATTTGTATACTGTAATGGGTCATAACAAGATAGGAGATTGTATACTGTAATGGGTCATAACAAGATAGGAGATTGTATACTGTAATGGGTCATAACAAGGTAGGAGATTGTATACTGTAATGGGTCATAACAAGGTAGGAGATTGTATACTGTAATGGGTCATAACAAGGTAGGAGATTGTATACTGTAATGGGTCATAACAAGATAGGAGATTGTATACTGTAATGGGTCATAACAAGATAGGAGATTGTATACTGTAATGGGTCATAACAAGATAGGAGATTGTATACTGTAATGGGTCATAACAAGATAGGAGATTGTATACTGTAATGGGTCATAACAAGATATTCCAAATAAAATCCACCATATAAAATTATTCCATATATCAAGATCATATTTTGAAGATACTTATATATGTGTAACACAACAGGCCATGTTTAGATAGGAAGAAGAAAGGATAATGGATCTACATCACGACAGGTGATATCAAAGTCATTGTTAGAACATTACCTCTATCCTGACCATTGTAAAACATTACAGCCCCAGTGCTAGTAATTGTAGTAGATAAACCCTTTTTCATATTACTGTATAATTATAAGCCCGTATTTGTACATTCCTGTAAAGTGTAAATTCTGTTTTAGGAGATTTCTGTGTACCAGTACACATGCTAGGTCTCTGAGCATCTGTCTGTCTGTTTCCCCAATATAACACAATAATATATATTCACTAAGTTTTGTTCTCTCTTTGGATATCGAGATCAATGATTGTAACCCAAGCTTATGTCCTTGTCCATCAGCCTGTTCTGTACATCAAGAAATCATCAATAGTATACTTAATAAATAACAAATGGTTGCTATTCTTTCTAAAGTCAGACTATTCTTTATCAAAACCTTTTATATTAATGTTTGGAAATTCATTAACTGAATTGATGCTAATTTTCTTTAAGACTTAATGATTTATTTTTTTGCTACATTAATTCTATATAAAATATTGGAACAATAACCATTTCTAAAACAGCTTCAATGTGTCCCTTGTTTTGACTTGTGTATGTCCTGTATACATTATCATAGCATGATGAATGTCTCAGCTGCCTTACTCCTGAACTTTTCTGTAATTTCCTTCCTTGTACCCTGGAGGGCATGAGGGTTGGCCTCCTGTCCCAGTCCCATTGATTGTGATGTCTTAAGAACCTCCCTACATATATATATAGGTTAATCTTATGTTAAGTTGTAATATACATGTGACTGATGTACAATTCTGAGTCTGAGTTAATATAATGTTTCTGGCATGATTTCTTTTATAAATCAGACTTTCAGAGAGATTTATCACTAACTGTGTACAGTTAAAATCAACAAGCAGTGTAAAAAATTTCTTGTGATGGATCTGAACTGTTCAAGATGTGTAAACATGTACCTGTGTGGCCCTGGGTGTAAACATGTACCTGTATGGCCCTGGGTATAAACATGTACCTGTGTGGCCCAGGATGTAAACATGTACCAGTGTGGCCCTGGGTATACACATGTACCTGAATGGCCCTGGGTGTAAGCATGTACCTGTATGGCCCTGGGTATAAACATGTACCTGTGTGGCCCTGGGTGTAAACATGTACCTGTATGTCCTTTGATGTAAACATGTACCTGTATGGCCCTGGGTGTAAGCATGTACCTGTATGGCCCTGGGTGTAAACATGTACCTGTATGGCCCTGGGTGTAAACATGTACCTGTATGGCCCTGGATGTAAACATGTACCTGTATGGCCCTGGGTGTAAACATGTACCTGTATGGCCCTGGGTGTAAACATGTACCTGTGTGGCCCTGGGTGTAAACATGTACCTGTGTGGCCCTTGGTGTAAATATGTACTTGTGTGGTCTTTGCTGTGGGTGAATATGTAACAGTATTTTTTTTATTTTTTTTTTCATAGTGTTTGGATTGGGAACAAAGCTGCCAAGATGTACTCTCTCCACTCAGCTCGATGGTACTCGGCAGCTTTCGCATTACGACAACGCATGCTGAACTTTGTACAGAACTTTGAATATTACATGATGTTTGAGGTTGTGGAACACAACTGGCACATTTTCCAAACCAACATGGAATCAGTACGTATGCTTTAGGATGTTGTAGGAAGGGATGAGTATGGATTCATTGTATGTAGGCAAGAGGAATCTGTAGATGGCCAATATTTAATCAGTATACAGATAGAAGGGATTTAGAGAGAGGGTCAATGTGGAGTCAGTATTAGGTATGAGGGTTTTAGAGAGGTCAATGTGGAATCAGTATTAGGTATGAGGGATTTAGAGAGGTCAATGTGGAATCAGTATTAGGTATGAGGAATGTAGAGAGAGGGTCAATGTGGAATCAGTATTAGGTATGAGGGATGTAGAGAGAGGGTCAATATGGAATCAGTATTAGGTATGAGGAATGTAGAGAGAGGGTCAATGTGGAATCAGTATTAGGTATGAGGGATGTAGAGAGGGTCAATGTGGAATCAGTATTAGGTATGGGGGATGTAGAGAGGGTCAATATGGAATCAGTATTAGGTATGAGGGATTTAGAGAGAGTCTATGTGGAATCAGTATTAGGTATGAGGGATTTAGAGAGAGAGAGAGTTGAATCATTATGTTTTTTATGCTAAGAAAGTTTGTACATCATTTGTACATGAGGGATTTAGAGACAGGGTCAATGTGAGTCAGTATTAGGTATAAGGGATGTAGAGAGGGTCAATGTGGAATCAGTATTAGGTATGAGGGATGTAGAGAGGTGGGTCAGTGTGGAATCAGTATTAGGTATGAGGGATGTAGAGAGAGGGTCAATGTGGAATCAGTATTAGGTATGAGGGATTTAGAGAGAGTCTATGTGGAATCGGTATTAGGTATGAGGGATGTAGAGAGAGGGTCAATGTGGAATCAGTATTAGGTATGAGGGATTTAGAGAGAGTCTATGTGGAATCGGTATTAGGTATGAGGGATGTAGAGAGAGGGTCAATGTGGAATCAGTATTAGGTATGAGGGATTTAGAGAGAGTCAATATGGAATCGGTATTAGGTATGAGGGATGTAGAGAGGGGGTCAATGTGGAATCAGTATTAGGTATGAGGGATTTAGAGACAGAGTCAATGTGGAATCGGTATTAGGTATGAGGGATTTAGAGAGGGGGTCAATGTGGAATCAGTATTAGGTATGAGGGATTTAGAGAGAGTCAATGTGGAATCGGTATTAGGTATGAGGGATTTAGAGAGGGGGTCAATGTGGAATCAGTATTAGGTATGAGGGATGTAGAGAGAGTGTCAATGTGGAATCGGTATTAGGTATGAGGGATGTAGAGAGGGGGTCAATGTGGAATCAGTATTAGGTATGAGGGATTTAGAGACAGGGTCAATGTGGAATCAGTATTAGGTATGAGGGATTTAGAGACAGGGTCAATGTGGAATCGGTATTAGGTATGAGGGATTTAGAGAGGGGGTCAATGTGGAATCAGTATTAGGTATGAGGGATTTAGAGACAGGGTCAATGTGGAATCAGTATTAGGTATGAGGGATTTAGAGACAGGGTCAATGTGGAATCAGTATTAGGTATGAGGGATGTAGAGAGAGGGTCAATGTGGAATCGGTATTAGGTATGAGGGATGTAGAGAGGGGGTCAATGTGGAATCAGTATTAGGTATGAGGGATTTAGAGAGAGGGTCAATGTGGAATCGGTATTAGGTATGAGGGATGTAGAGAGGGGGTCAATGTGGAATCAGTATTAGGTATGAGGGATTTAGAGAGAGTCAATGTGGAATCGGTATTAGGTATGAGGGATTTAGAGAGGGGGTCAATGTGGAATCAGTATTAGGTATGAGGGATTTAGAGAGAGGGTCAATGTGGAATCGGTATTAGGTATGAGGGATGTAGAGAGGGGGTCAATGTGGAATCAGTATTAGGTATGAGGGATTTAGAGAGGGTCAATGTGGAATCAGTATTAGGTATGAGGGATTTAGATAGAAGGTCAATGTGGAATCAGTATTAGGTATGAGGGATGTAGAGAGAGGGTCAATGTGGAATCAGTATTAGGTATGAGGGATGTAGAGAGGGGGTCAATGTGGAATCAGTATTAGGTATGAGGGATTTAGAGAGAGGATCAATGTGGAATCAGTATTAGGTATGAGGGATTTAGAGAGAGGGTCAATGTGGAATCAGTATTAGGTATGAGGGATTTAGAGACAGGGTCAATGTGAGTCAGTATTAGGGATTTAGAGAGGTCAATGTGGAATCAGTATTAGGTATGAGGGATGTAGAGAGGGTCAATGTGGAATCAGTATTAGGTATAAGGGATGTAGAGAGGGTCAATGTTGAATCAGTATTAGGTATGAGGGATGTAGAGAGAGAGTCAATGTGGAATCAGTATTAGGTATGAGGGATGTAGAGAGGGTCAATGTGGAATCAGTATTAGGTATAAGGGATGTAGAGAGAGGGTCAATGTTGAATCAGTATTAGGTATGAGGGATGTAGAGAAAGGGTCAATATGGAATCAGTATTAGGTATGAGGGATGTAGAGAAATGGTCAATGTGGAATCAGTATTAGGTATGAGGGATTTAGAGAGAGAGAGAGAGTTGAATCATTATGTTTTTTATGCTAAGAAAGTTTGTACATCGTGATCAGTTGTTGTCACACATTAATTCCATGTGATTACTTTCCGCATGCTTAGGTTTCTAATGTGGATGATGTGCTGAACTACCACACAGACTTCCTCAACAACTGTCTGAAGGACTGTATGCTCACCAACCCAGACCTCCTGAAGATTGTCCACAAACTCATGATGGTGTGCGTTACCTTCTCCAACTTTATACAGGTATACGATAACTCAAGGTCACAAGGTCTTTACTTTGTTTGAGGTGTTACAACAGTTACTCAAGGTCAGAGGGTCATTAATCTATCGAAGGTGCTCTTTAAGGGTTACAACTCAAAATCACACCTGTCCACAGCATTGTTGTTTATAAGTAATGAATAAGAGATGTTACTACTTTCCCCTCATGTATCTCATGTTTCTGTAGATTAAATGTATATTATAACTTATCAGTGTCAGAGTGTCTCTAGTAATCAAGGAGATTTCCTCCAAGGTATGTTGAGATGGAGGCAGTTCCTTATCTTACAGGGTCCTCAGACTTGATGTATGTTATAAACTTTTCATTTCAGCGACTAAGTCAGAGTGCAACCCTAGAAATGGAGGAGGCTCCGTCTCGTGAGAGTTCACTACAGGGTCTTCAGGCCAGGAACAGGAAGGACACTTCTAACAAACAGAAGGCCAGCACAAAGGTAAGACAAATGGCAAGGATTCTGGCTTGTACACATACAAGGATGTGTCATAGACTAGGAGATAGACTACTACACAGACAAGGATTTATCATAGACAAGGAGACTGACTAGTACACAGACAAGGATGTGACATAGACTAGGGGACAGACTAGTACACAGACAAGGATGTGTCATAGACTAGGAGACAGACTAGTACACAGACAAGGATGTGTCATAGACTAGGAGACAGACAAGTACATAGACAAGGATGTGTCATAGACTAGGAGACAGACTACTACATAGACAAGGATTTATCATAGACAAGGAGATTGACTAGTACACAGACAAGGATGTGTCATAGAATAGGAGACAGACAAGTACATAGACAAGGATGTGTCATAGACTAGGAGACAGACAAGGACATAGGCAAGGATGTGTCATAGACTAGGAGACAGGCTAGTACACAGACAAGGATGTGTAATAGACTAAGAGACAGACAAGGACATAGACAAGGATGTGTCATAGACTAGGAGACAGGCTAGTACATAGACAAGGATGTGTCATAGACTAGGAGACGGGCTAGTACACAGACAAGGATGTGTCATAGACTAGGAGACAGACTAGTACATTAACAAGGATGTGTCTTAGACTAGGAGACAGGCAAGGATGTGTCATAGACTAGGAGACAGACAAGTACATAGACAAGGATGTGTCATAGACTAGGGGACAGACAAGTACATAGACAAGGATGTGTCATAGACTAGGGGACAGACTAGTACACAGACAAGGATGTGTCCTAGACAAGGAGATTGACTAGTACACAGACAAGGATGTGACATAGACTAGGGGACAGACTAGTACACAGACAAGGATGTGTCCTAGACAAGGAGATTGACTAGTACATTAACAAGGATGTGTCTTAGACTAGGGGACAAGCAAGGATGTGTCATAGACTAGGAGACAGACAAGTACATAGGCAAGGATGTGTCTTAGACTAGGTAATTGACAAGGATTCTTACCAGGTCATTGTTACATGAGAGATGAGGTGTACCATAATAATGTCATTTCTACATGAGATAGGATGTGTTCCATAACTGGGTCTTTACTACATGTGGGGGAGGTGACATTTGTCATCTGTGTAACATAATCTATCTGTGAGGAATTCTGAAATTGATAAATCAATATCTTCACCAGCATTCTGGACGTTATACTCCTGTATTGGTAAGTCTGAACACTGTGGTGAACACAGCTGACAAAGGAGTTTGGTCTCCTCCACATAAACTCATGTAGTTACTGAAACATCCTACCTAGAACTGGTTTGAACACTAAGCTGACATTGTAATAATAGTTAATTTTACATAACAGTGATGTAGCAGTTTAAACATTTTAACTAGAATTAGCTTAATCAAATAGAGAACTAGCGTACTATGGTTTATAGGGAACTTATGATACTCACCAAATCCTCTGCTGTGTTAACTATTACTGGTTTGTTTAGATCACAATCATCAGATAGTGGACTGTTTAAATAGCCCTTAATCTGTGGTCTGTGGTCCATCCTATTCTTGAGAAGTACTGCTAGGATACGTCTCAAACTCATCATGTGGGCTCCCCTTATTCCCTAGCCAATCAAATATCGACGCTGATCAATATAAAACAAAATGGCAATCAGTCGGCCATCTTGGATTTCTTGAGAGGTACTGAAAGGATATTCCTGAAACTTGTGGTGGTTTTTTTTTATCTGTCAGTCCTTTATTGTGTTTGTTCTGTTTTAACAGTTTTGGACAGTTGTTATCATTATGTCTTAGTGATAATGGAAGGATATCAAACAACTTGTCCCATCCAAAATTGTGTGTAATGGGGACAATGATTGACATGTGGCCATCTTTAATTTTGGCAGTGACAGGTTATTTTTTTATCGCTGTTTCTTGAGAAGCGCTGTGTGATTTTCTGAAACAATAACCCTTGGTCCATAGTTGTACACTTTTGATTTTGGTACTGATGTGGAAATCAAAACGATCGACAAGCCACTACATTAAAGCTTGTTATTGCTATTTCCTGAGAGGAATTTTCAAATTTTGTACATTGAAGAAGAAAACTAAAGGAAATGAAAAGAAGAAAAAGAGGAAAAGATCCAACTTTAAAAGAATAAAGATTGAAAATGCTGGACACAAAGATCCCTCTGGAGTCTCTTGTGATACTACCAAAATTCTCTCTGTCCTTCAGTATCTTTGTTAGGCAGTGTGTTGTGCATCAAAAGTTGGTCACACAGGCCTATATTTTGAAATTTGACCTGTATCAAAGAAAAAGTTAGATCTTGGTGAGGGGTGTGTCTGTTCACTCTGACCTACTTCTGTCTCCTAAAGTATTAGTCCCTGTAACTAGTTACTTGTGATATGGGTAGATCTTGGTGAGGGGTGTGTCTGTTCACTCTGACCTACATCTGTCTCCTACAGTATTAGTCACTGTAACTTGTTACTTGTGATATGGGGTGTGTGTATCTGTTCACTCTGACCTACTTCTGTCTCCTACAGTATAAGTCACATGAACTTGTTACTTGTGATATGGGGTGTGTGTATCTGTTCACTCTGACCTACATCTGTCTCCTACAGTATTAGTCACATGAACTTGTTACTTGTGATATGGGGTGTGTGTATCTGTTCACTCTGACCTGCATCTGTCTCCTACAGTATTAGTCACATGAACTTGTTACTTGTGATATGGGGTGTGTGTATCTGTTCACTCTGACCTACATCTGTCTCCTACAGTATTAATCACTGTAACTTGTTACTTGTGATATGGGATGTGTGTATCTGTTCACTCTGACCTACATCTGTATCCTACAGTATTAGTCACTGTAACTTGTTACTTGTGATATGGGGTGTGTGTATCTGTTCACTCTGACCTACATCTGTCTCCTACAGTATTAGTCACTGTAACTTGTTACTTGTGATATGGGGTGTGTGTATCTGTTCACTCTGACCTACATCTGTCTCCTACAGTATTAGTCACATGAACTTGTTACTTGTGATATGGGGTGTGTGTATCTGTTCACTCTGACCTACATCTGTCTCCTACAGTATTAGTCACTGTAACTTGTTACTTGTGATATGGGGTGTGTGTATCTGTTCACTCTGACCTACATCTGTCTCCTACAGTATTAATCACTGTAACTTGTTACTTGTGATATGGGGTGTGTGTATCTGTTCACTCTGACCTACATCTGTCTCCTACAGTATTAATCACTGTAACTTGTTACTTGTGATATGGGGTGTGTGTATCTGTTCACTCTGACCTACATCTGTCTCCTACAGTATTAATCACTGTAACTTGTTACTTGTGATATGGGGTGTGTGTATCTGTTCACTCTGACCTACATCTGTATCCTACAGTATCAGTCACTGTAACTTGTTACTTGAGATATGGGGTGTGTGTATCTGTTCACTCTGACCTACATCTGTCTCCTACAGTATTAGTCACATGAACTTGTTACTTGTGATATGGGGTGTGTGTATCTGTTCACTCTGACCTACATCTGTCTCCTACAGTATTAGTCACTGTAACTTGTTACTTGTGATATGGGGTGTGTGTATCTGTTCACTCTGACCTACATCTGTCTCCTACAGTATTAATCACTGTAACTTGTTACTTGTGATATGGGGTGTGTGTATCTGTTCACTCTGACCTACATCTGTCTCCTACAGTATTAGTCACTGTAACTTGTTACTTGTGATATGGGTAGATCTTGGTGAGGGGTGTGTCTGTTCACTCTGACCTACATCTGTCTCCTACAGTATTAATCACTGTAACTTGTTACTTGTGATATGGGTAGATCTTGGTGAGGGGTGTGTCTGTTCACTCTGACCTACATCTGTCTCCTACAGTATTAATCACTGTAACTTGTTACTTGCGATATGGGGTGTGTGTATCTGTTCACTCTGACCTACATCTGTATCCTACAGTATTAGTCACTGTAACTTGTTACTTGTGATATGGGGTGTGTGTATATGTTCACTCTGACCTACATCTGTCTCCTACAGTATTAGTCACTGTAACTTGTTACTTGTGATATGGGGTGTGTGTATCTGTTCACTCTGACCTACATCTGTCTCCTACAGTATTAGTCACTGTAACTTTTTACTTGTGATATGGGGTGTGTGTATCTGTTCACTCTGACCTACATCTGTATCCTACAGTATTAGTCACTGTAACTTGTTACTTGTGATATGGGGTGTGTGTATCTGTTCACTCTGACCTACATCTGTCTCCTACAGTATTAGTCACTGTAACTTGTTACTTGTGATATGGGGTGTGTGTATCTGTTCACTCTGACCTACATCTGTCTCCTACAGTATTAGTCACATGAACTTGTTACTTGTGATATGGGGTGTGTGTATCTGTTCACTCTGACCTACATCTGTCTCCTACCGTATTAGTCACTGTAACTTGTTACTTGTGATATGGGTAGATCTTGGTGAGGGGTGTGTCTGTTCACTCTGACCTACATCTGTCTCCTACAGTATTAGTCACATGAACTTGTTACTTGTGATATGGGTAGATCTTGGTGAGGGGTGTGTCTGTTCACTCTGACCTACATCTGTCTCCTACAGTATTAATCACTGTAACTTGTTACTTGTGATATGGGGTGTGTGTATCTGTTCACTCTGACCTACATCTGTCTCCTACAGTATTAATCACTGTAACTTGTTACTGGTGATATGGGGTGTGTGTATCTGTTCACTCTGACCTACATCTGTCTCCTACAGTATTAATCACTGTAACTTGTTACTTGTGATATGGGGTGTGTGTATCTGTTCACTCTGACCTACATCTGTCTCCTACAGTATTAGTCACATGAACTTGTTACTTGTGATATGGGGTGTGTGTATCTGTTCACTCTGACCTACATCTGTCTCCTACAGTATTAATCACTGTAACTTGTTACTTGTGATATGGGGTGTGTGTATCTGTTCACTCTGACCTACATCTGTCTCCTACAGTATTAGTCACATGAACTTGTTACT